ACAACTACCAACGAGCAAAATGCGAGGATCCAAAGGTCATACGAGAGTGGTTCGACTTGGTTCAACGCACGATTAATGAGAACGGCATCCAACCTGACGATATATATAACTTTGATGAGACTGGCTTCGCAATGGGTCTTATTGCTACTGCAAAAGTCGTCACCCGTGCTGAATACTACGGTCGGAGATCTCATAAACAACCTGGAAATCGTGAATGGGTCACATCTATCGAGTGTATTGGTGCGTCGGGCTTCAAATTACCACCTTGTCTTATCTTCAAATCCAAGACACATCACCAGGCTTGGTACGAAGATAAAGGGGTAGGACCGGACTGGAGGATCGAAATCAGTGATAATGGATGGACAACTGATGCTATTGGCCTTCGCTGGCTGAAAGATCTCTTTATTCCGAGTACGGCGAGCCGTACAAAGGGTAAATATCGTCTTCTAGTCCTTGATGGTCATGGTAGCCATTTGACACCTCAATTCGACCGACTTTGCGCTGAACATGATATTATACCAATTTGCATGCCAGCGCATTCATCTCATTTGCTACAACCACTAGATGTCGGGTGTTTTGCGAACCTAAAGCGCGCATATGGTGGCTTGGTTGAGCGAAAAGCTCGATGCAATATCAACCATATTGACAAGCTTGATTTCCTTGCCGCCTACCCGCACGCTCGCGAGATCTCATATCACTCGGATATAATTCAGAGCGCATTCGAATCTGCTGGTTTAATACCCTTTGATCCCGATCGGGTTATATCGAAGCTTAATATTCAGCTTCGAACACCAACCCCCCCAGGAAGCCGACCAGGAAGCCGATCAAGTGAGTGGAGCCCTACAACACCACTCAACACAAAACAATTATATCGGCAAGAATCTTCAGTCAAAGCTCTACTCAAATATCGATCCGTGAGCCCTCAAACGCCTACAAAGCATGTGGTAGAGCAGACTCTTAAAGGCTTCCATGTCACGCTTCAAAGGCTAGCGATGTTGGAGAAAGAAATCCGGGATTTGCGCGCTGCCAATGAGGTTCGGAAACAAAAACGCAAGAGGTCTAATAAACGCATCGACCGTACTGAAGGCATGTCAATTCAGGAGGGAAGAGACGTAATATTCAGTTCGAACCAAGCCGTTGAATCTCTGGATCCTGTTCATCCAGAACTAGCTCCGGTCGCAAATGAGACTAATACACCACGACAACGGGCGCCACCAAGATGCAGTGGTTGTGGAGGGATAGGGCATAAGATAAATAGATGTCCGAAGCAGTGATATCAATAATTTAATGGCGTTGTGGTTATTTTATATGCAAATCAAAATTATAGGTTGAGATGGGTGGGCGGTTCGCTTATGTGGGCGGTTCGCTTGTGGGTTACGTTACTTCCGTACCCTTTCAGAGCGAAACGAAACATTTCGTCGATTAGTGGTTTTGCGGGGGCAGCTCTACTCCGCTATTATTCCGCTGAGGGCCTCTCTCTCTTACCGCTTCTCCGTACATTCTGGATCGTGCGATTTCCTTATATTTCGCTCGACTTTCTACGTCCGCTAGATCGTGTGTCGGGAATAGGTACGGAGAGGGATAGGTGCGTCTTATTCTTTATACGCACCTATAGGGGAGGCCTTAGTGGGCATTTATAGTTTCTCTATACCCTTCCTAGGCCTTCGTATAAGAAGGCTTTAAACTGATACACTACTAGATATGATTCGGAAAGGATCGTATAGTGACAAACTGAGGGGATGGTCAAATACCACTAGGACCCTTCGGGATTGGCTTATTCATCGTTCACCCAATTTCCACCTAGTATGGTGTCATAACACGCCATAGTTCAACTATAAAGACCCCTGAGATCGCTCAACCGATCGGGGAACGGGGAATCAATCATCTTATTCTGTCTGGACATCTTCAGTATTAGCCAGTACATCGATTCCTTATCCTGACAGAATCAATCATCTTATTCTGTTTGGACATCTTCAGTACTAGCCAGTACATCGATTCCTCATCCTGACATATAGTTTTATATTCGACTAGAAGGATCAGACTATATATAGGTACGTACGGGTAGGCTGCGGTAGAACCGCGGTTAGTGCGAAAGATCTAAGAATCGGAACCATATGGTTATTTTGCGGGTCTGACCTCGGTTCTATGCAGTTAACCTCTTTAGAACCACTTTTGCATAATCTCGCTTAATTATCTACTTTACATAATTCATATAAGAGTTACGAAGTACTTACATCTAGGCTTGGTATATTTATACTATTTATAGGCATATTTACACTACTTGTACTCTTGCGGTTCTATTGAGGTTAACGGCAATGACCGCGGTTTCTGCGAAGAGCTAGAACCGTAACCGCAAATTGCGGTGCGGTTAGCGAGGAACCGCCCGGGACCGCGGTGTTGCTGTAGGCTAGTATTAACGATGTACAACCTAAGACATAAGTTTGGTTACAATATATGTAGTTTTAGCGTGTTTTTCAGCGTCGCCTCCAATATACCTTTTTCTTTTCTCTCCCAAACATATAATACGTCAATTCGGCCAAGGAATAAGCGGAAATTGTGGTAAGAATACTGAATTACCTGTTGAATAGTGAAGTGCTATAATATATACTATTGAGAACGGTGTATCTGCTACTAAGATCGCTACTGATTTTGGTACTACACGTAATATAGTATATACTATAATTAAGTGCTTTAAATAACACTAAACAGTCAAGTATTTACCTTATATTAGTCACTGTCAAACATATACTTAGTTAATTAATGTATCATTATATATTGTTGGTATCACCAGCTAGGTACTGTGTACACAGTTAAGTGGACAGTGTGTATGCTCCAAAGCAAAAGTCAATTCTGTTGATAGATGTTGATGTTCAGTCTAGTTGGAAAAACACCCCTAGATCCCAGACGCCGGCCTTCGGCGGTCACAACACCGAGGCCACAGCCCAGCGCAAGAATGCGTACACCAAGCAAGGGATGTTATCCATCGGTCGCTAGCAGTGGGTCACAGCCAGTTTGTTCTGACAGGAGAATATATCCCGACATATATATTAATTCACGCGCTGAGACCCTTGATGGTTAAATAGAGAGCTTACTACTTATACACTATGTCACTCTTCCGAAATCCCTATTCGCTATATTCTTTAATTATATAGTCTTCGGAAATATAAAGCATGAAAGCAAATATCCATTTTAGTATAAATAATATATATAAAGAGATTTTACATATAGTTATATAGAAAAGAGATAGTTTATAATTAATGCTTTAGGATAGTTACTATCCTTTCAGATAAATATAGTATTTAACGAATAAGTAATTCAAAAGATAGATATATTTTTAAATTCTATAGCGAGGTATATAGGCGTGACCTTGTAGATATTAAGCCTTATATTAAAGATATTTTGTAGATAGTACAGGTGGCTATCTAGCTTAGTGGCTGTATGAAATTAGTGATACTTGAATAAGACTGTTTAGAGGGAAAATATGGCGGATAGATAACAAAATCTTCTATCTCTCTATAATCCTAGCATGGTTTTTCAACAAGATAATGGGAGAAGTTTTATTGGGGTTGCCTCGTGTTGGCCACGCTGTCTCACGTGACATCTACACCGACATTTCGGAGGGCTCCTTCCTACAACTGCCTCTGAAGAGTCAGTTGCTTGCTTCTGGTGGTAGCTTGTCGTCTCTCACGCAGTCAAGACTCGATTTTGTTTACATCCTTCCTCTACGGTAACAGCGCCGATACGCCTTGACTATATCGCTCCCCACCATGACGTCCAGCCAGTCCAGCAGTGTCACGCCTGCTCCACTTGATTCTGCTTGGCCTCCGGCCCACATTTGGGAAACCATGAACACAGTGGACCGTGCTAGTTGGCTAGGACAGATACAGAAAGACAGGGCCAGGCGCCTTGAAATGGACGTAGCAGAGACTGACCTCCGCCGCAGGAGGCCTCATGCGGACCTGCAAGGTGACGATAATCTCGAGGAAAACCGTGAGCCACCCCCTGAGGTTAAACCACTCATCGACATATTCCCGGGTGTCTCCGCCGCCCTTCTTACTCGCGTATTCGAGAGGAAGTTGAAGGCGACTGAACTCATACGCTTCAAAGAGAAATCAGTCACCGAACTGGATCAGGATGACAGGGTCTTCAAGATGACCGAGTCGGGAGGCACAGTAGGCTTCAAGAAGGCAGCGGCATCGCTTAAGGACTGGGGCCCCAACCCTCAAACATGGACGAGCTGCTTCCTTACATACCTAGCCGTCATAGGATATCTCTTCGGCGAGAAACATCCAAAGGCAGTTCCCAACCTACTCATGTTCATGAGGCAGATCCTCGATCTCGCTCAAACTTATCAGTGGTCAGAAGCAGTACTGCCGCTCGCCCTCAACTTCCACCAATACATTCTGGATAAAGGAGAGCTGTCGACGGAGAACAACCTTTTCACAGCCCCATTTCGCGAAAAATATCTCCGTCACAATCTTACCCTGCCTGCGAAGTCGCCGGCAAACCCTTCAGTCCGACCTCGCCAAACAAGGTCTACTAGATCTTCTAATAATGAAACCGAGGTGTGCGATAAGTTCAACACCACAGGATGTCTCTGGGAAGGCTGCAAGAGACGCCATGAGTGCACAGCATGCGGTCTAAGCCAGCATGGCGCCTCCTCTTGCCGTAAGAAGACATAGCAAGTGGACCCTACCGTTAGGGAACACACTGCAGAGGCCGATAGGTGCTCCAATCCCTTACCACTAAGCCTAATACCGCAGGGCCAACCGCCCAGGCCAAATACTGCTGCCCAATACCCCCTTTTCAACCCGGAGCGCCCAAAGCTACAGTTCTCTCCGTCACCACTATATACAAAAGGCTGGAGCAACCTCCTACGCCACTATCCAGGCGATCTCGGGTCTACTATCACTGGCATCCTGACCTACGGCGTCCAGATCGGCTACAGGGGCAAGAAGCAGTATTGCCATTCCTCCAACCATCACATACACGAACCCGATATGATCTCGGCCAAACTAGCGGAGGATCTCAACCTCGGTCGCATTAGATTGGCCTATAGGCCCTCCTTCGTCTCGCCACTCGGGTTAGTCCCTAAGCATGATGGGGGATGGCGCCGCATCCATGATCTATCCTGGCCCCCTAGACAGGGCCTTAACCAGGGCATACCGGACACTTGGTCAGCCATTGAATACATGACGATCGATGATATCTACGAGCAGGTCACACAAGCTGGCCTAGGTTGCACAATCATTAAGAGAGACATTAAGGACGCCTTCCGAATAGTCCCTGTTGCTGAGGACAACCAGCACCTCCTTGCCTTCCAGTGGAACCATTCCACTTATGTCGAATGCTGCCTCCCCTTTGGCCTCGCTACAGCCCCATTTCTCTTTAACCTCTTCGCCGAGGCTCTCCATTGGATACTCCAATGCCTCCTCCCTGTATTCTATATCAATCATTACCTGGACGACTTCATCGCAATTACTCGTTCTCCCCCAGTGTCCGACCCTACGGGTCCCTTTGACGAGGTTTACAACGAGGTCACGGATTACCTGCGTATCCCCCGCAATACCAACAAGGACCAGCAGGGGACTTGCGTTACAGTCTTGGGTATCCAGGTCGACTCTATTGCAATGGAAGCTCGCCTGCCACCAGATAAGTTGTGCCGCGCCACATTGGACGCCGCAGCTGCCCTAAACGCAGCGAGTCTCTCCCTCAAGCAAACAGAGCATCTCACAGGCTCATTAGCCTTCTGTTCAAGAGTTGTCCGGCTTGGGAGAACAAGGCTACAGTCTCTATACACGTTCCAAGCCGCCTTCCCACATGGGAGGAGCGCGCGCCGCCGTATCTCCCACGAGGTACGTGACGATTTGGAATGGTGGAGGGACTCCTTGTCTCTTTTCAACGGCGTACTCCTAATTGACCCCTGCCGCCGGTCTATCACGCATCTCTACACAGATGCCTCCAACACAGGCCAGGGGCTCTTCTTCTTCTCATCCAAGTCTATATCAGACTGCTGGCTGGCCCATTGTCACCAGCTTCATCCAAGCAATGCTGCCTCACTGGCCCTTGTCCAAGACGCACACGCGCACCAAGTCGCACACGCGCACATCAATACCACCGAAGTAGACGCCATTCTACAAGGCTTCCTACTATTCAGCCAGCATTGGCTTCATCATACTCTCGTTATCCACACGGATAGCTCCACAGCCCACAGAGGACTGAGTAAAGGCTTCCTTCATGGTCCGCCTAACGTACCTCTGAAAAGCCTACTTATCCTAGCGGCGGCGAGAGACATCCAAATTGTGCCACATTGGCTCCCTTCCCAGGAAAACAAACTAGCAGATTCCCTCTCCCGTAATAACTTCCAAGAGGTTGCTAACATTTGTCCCCACTGGCAGGACCTCTAGGTATTGAACCGCCCGCGTGGTTCTCTTCACGAGCTCCTCAGCTCATTCCAGGCCACCTAAAACTGCTCTGGAGCGGTCTCAGCGCTAACACGCGTTCCGTCTACCTCTCCGTTCAACGAAGTTACGAAAAGCATTGTGCACTACAAAATTTACCGGCATGGCCAGCCTCAACACAGTCGTTAACCTCCTGGCTAACTTCACGACTCCTTGGGAATTCAACCCAAAAGCCCGTCAAACCCGACACCGCACTCACCGACCTAGCCGCTCTCCGAGCTTACCATATTGACAACTTCCTTGATGACAAACTCTTCGACAACAAGCACTTTCGACGTCTCATAGACGGCGCGAGAAGACTCAATCCCATCACTAAAGTTCGAGTCAGAAAACCGATTTCGCGTGACACTATTACGAAACTATCCGCGAGCCTCTCTACAATCCCGTCACACCCCTTAGAGATGACTGCGAACCTCCTAGATGACCTGAACTTCGCAACCGCCTGCCGGGTAGCTTTTGCTGGGTTCCTCCGCCTCGGAGAATTCACATACAAGACAGAAGACCTCAACACACGCTCTATCTTCTCAGCCACAAAGCTTACGCGCTCCGACGTCAGATTCTCGTCCTCGTTAGATCATGTGCAACTCACATTCAAGCGGAGTAAGACGGACCGCCGCCACGAAGGAATACAGATTGTTCTCGCAAAAACAGGAGACGAAGCGTGCCCAGTAGACGCACTTCAGAAGCTACTACTGCTGGACCCCAAAGGACCCGATGCCCCGTTATTCTCCTTCCACCGGAAACCGTTCAGCCGCAACCATTTCCTCTCTACCTTGTCTACTAAGCTGAGGGTACTTGGCATACAGACGGACGGCTACTCGGGACATGGCTTTCGGAAGGGTGCGGCTCAACATGCGCACGATAGTGGGATCCTCGACGACCAGATCCAGGTGCTAGGGAGATGGACCTCGGAGGCATTCAGGGTGTATTTCACCACGAACGCGTCAGTTTTATACAAGTTCAACCACCAGTTCCAGACAGGCTTGCCAGCTCCGCTATCTCTACTGCTTCCTCCACCGTCCCCTCCACCATCCTAGTTTGGCCCGGGTCATTTGGGCCTTCTCTGACGCTACAGTCTAATGCGTTTACGCATAAGACCGCAGCGACAGGTGACCCGTTACGGCCAAACTGTACACGTTTTCTGTTCTCTTCTTGACTGCGAGAGGTCACCAATAAAATATAAATATATACTGCTTATACCGTGAAAGAGTGGTTTGAAACTTCTAGTATCTATATACTAAAATAGTTAGTATATTAACCTGATTTAAACCCTATTAAACTAGTCTAGCTACTCTTGAAATTAAAGCTATACTAGCTATATCTATTAATTGCCTGCTTAGGGAGATTAAAGTATAATTAGGAGGTATTTAAACTCGTAATTAAACACATCTAGGATGAGCTTGATCAGAGAGTTATAGATCGTCTAATTCTCTCAGTTCCTAAGCGTATAGCGGCTATACGCTGAGTATGTGGCTACTATACGCGTTATTAATTAATATTTGGATGGAGAATTGATAAGTCTATTAGTGTTCTGAATTTGAAGTCAAAATAATGTTAGGACATGTTCAAATATATATTTTTATGGATGATGGAGTGAGTGAGCGGGATGACTAGTTTAGCACTGTAATCAGACTTATGTCGGGGGTTGTATTATCTATAAATAACCAAGGAAACAAAGGTGAATTTGTCTGAGGGTAGACAGCCTTAGAAGGGAGGGTAATTGTCAAGGAATCCATATAACCCGCTTCATAGGCCTTATAGATAAGGTACAGCAGATCGGGTCTGATACATAACATAGATTAACGTGAGCGGTGTACTCAGGGGTTTATTATAACGATTCACGCAGGAGGAACTTCCGTTCCTTGAGCGTTAGTATCTGCTTATGAGAACATAAAAATCGACCTCCTTCCACCTCAAGTCCATCTTGTAACCTTCACCTAATCACCCGGCGCCATCCAACCTGGTATTCTCTTACATGTGGCTTCCTCCCTAATTGCCTTGGATAGTGATCAGGTGACTCACTATGTCGAATTGGCCTCTAACTCTTTACCCTAGGAAACCTAGCTGAAAATGGTATAGGATACCCGCGTGAACGATCAAAAATAATTCACCTAAACTAGGCCCTTGGGGCTTTCTACCTAGATATCCTAGAGTCTAATTAAGTAGAAAGATTGGAAAATCTGCTATATTAAAAGATCTAAAAGATCGATCAAAAAATACCAAGATTTGACCTACTTAGGGGGGTATCGTGTTGACCTAGTACACTCCCATGCCAGGACTTTTTTACTATGATTTCCCCCACCTACTGGCCCCTAATATCTTTAGGGTGTTTTGGCGAGAGGGCGGAAGAGTTTCCCCCGCATACCTTGCCTTATTCATCTCCTACTTATCAAGAATTTTTAATTTTAGCGACATTTCTTTCATCTTCATGAGTTACTTTCAAGCTAACGTAAACTCTGAACGGGCAGCGGAGGGCGCTTTAAGTTGCAATGGCCTGACTCTACTGCAGGCGCGGATATATTACCTGGATTGGAATGATTGACATGGCTAAACTCTATCCATCGTGTCAATGGGGTAGTAAAACCGAACCTCGACAGCTGTGCAGCGGCACCGATTGCAGCTGCAGATACCACATGGCACGATGTCTTCCTATGAATATTTGCCGCCCATTAATATACCTGTCGGCGGCGGAACACATGGCTGTCAAAACTACCATCTAGCCGGGCGCAACAGGGTCAACTTAACATCCCGGATACCGACTAGGCTCGGGAAGTCACCGCCCTGCAATATCCCTGCATAGGGCTTCGGGTGATCTTCGTCAGCGACTCTGCATCTCGTGGAACTTCCAGTTTCAGTATTCACGGGAGGCTACAAAGTTTGACCTAGCATGCCTCTACATCATAGACAGAAAGCTTACGGACATTCATATTCTCCCTGACCCTTAGATGTACCTACCTCACTAGGTCATGCGTTTGTTTCTTGTGAACCTAGGTTACATCAAAGGAACACTGACCAGAGGGGAGAGAGGAACCTGGCGAAGGGTCCAAATGCGAGCATGCATATAATATAACCTTATGCACTGGCATATCTGAGAAAGCCTTTCTCGTCACGAACGCTTTTGCATATGCCCATTGGCCACAGCCGATCTGACATACATCTGGCAAGGGATGACCTTATAGCGAAGTTTTCTAACACCAGTACCAAGAGCCGGCCCCAGTTTGACCAAGTCAGAAACCCCACTCGGATCAAACGAAGCTATAATAGTTTGCTTTCAAAATGCCGATCGTCATCAACCTTTTACTTAACAAAGTATAGATTAGCGAGGACGGATACCAAGTGCAGACGCATTGAACTAATGCCATTTTGGGAACAGCCAAACACAAGCTTGGAATGGTCCATTATGCAGAATAGGTGGATCTTACATGCAGAATGATTACTTGAAAAGACATGTCCACAGAGAAACGCCCAGTGGTGGCGGGACGGGGATAGCGGGCCGGGGATCGCGGGCCGGGATCGCGGGTGATCGGCCTCGGAGTATTTTCGGCGATTTAGTACCAATCAATGCCGAGTGGGGGCAAACGTGAAGAGACTAATCAATACATTCATCTCTCGGGCACTCAGGGCCACCAAAATAAGTGTATGCAGATACAAGGGACCACTGGGCCATGCAGAATGAGGTGAAGAGATTTCTGGCAAGATCGTGGCCATCTCGCTCGGTATTATTGGTGGTCGCGGTGTGCCATTGCAACAATCCGCCGATGCAGATTCACTTAACTTACTCGGCTCGAACGCAGATCTGCTGGTGGTCCACCGAACTCTCGGGTTGTCTTTCCAGTGAGACGTCACTTACATCTTGGCTCCAACCACGGTCCTCGTATCTAGCTCTGGGAAAACGCGGAACAGCAAACCTACATGGCCCTGCTGCATTTGTGGGTTTATCATCGTATTTACAAATAGAGACGCAGTCTAGTCGCGGGCAGAAACAATGGAACCTTGTTAAATAAGCGGCGGGCGGGGCAACCTTGCAACCATTGTGAAGCTGCTGACGATAATCCAATCCACTCAGTGCACGGTCCGATGCTTGCTATCCTTCGGATTGGTAGTTTGGAATTGCCCGTTGACAAATTCATCCCAGCTTCGGACTGACTCAACGGGCCCTGTCTCATGTTCATGTGCGTTCATCATGCGATCGCGGCCACGCCCAGAAACTCCGATGTCCTCGACCGACCTCGAACAATGACTACAGTTGCTCGCGTTGTGTTGTCTATGTCTGGGGGCCAAATGCGTGTATAGCTCCCTGCCCAAGGGACGCGTTCGCAGCGCGAGTTAAGGCACATGTTTGTCAGGCACGGGAGCCGGGGTAGCTGCATCCAGTCAGAGCCATCCTAACAGCGACAATAGTAGCGGCACCGGCACCGGCACCGGCACCGGCATTCGCAGGTCCTCGCCGCCAATTCAGGGGAATGCGTCGTCGCGGCTAGACCCCGCAAATCCTCCAAATACCAGCATCCTAACACGCTAAACCACGCCTCTGAGCTGTGAAACGCCCTCAACGGCGCTCCATTTTGTCTTGTTAGCTTCATCCAATTCATTCCTCTCCATGAGAAATCCTCAGTCCTAGCGTACAGATTTCCAATGATTCGACAACGGAGAAATCAAATGTAGAGAAGAGAGCAAAGGAGCGACAGAAGTGGGAATATTGAATAGGGAATGACACAGACCTCCGTGCAACCAATGGCTATGTGGCACAGGTGACAGGTGTTATAAAGAAGGTTTGATGTGGAGTGTGACTTTCACACTTTTTTTTTTGATTTTTATTAATGCCTTTCTTTTTTTTTAGCGAAGAATGGGCTTGGGTACCGGGTACCCATTTTTCAAAGTCTACAAACAAATATCTATCTCTTGTTCGTAAAACGCTATTCCAGAAATGTATATTGCGCAGAATGTTAAGATACATCTGAGATGGTCCCGATCATCTGCATGTGTAGGGATTCTCCACACAGATAAGTAAACCACTGATCGAGAAATAGCAGGGTACAAAGAAATCTTCCTTCACTGGGGGTATATTGTACTTCAGAAGCGAAATGTATTGCCGTCATTAGGAGTCTGCCTCATATCAGGGGTCTGCAATTTCGTGAGGAGAGATTCGACGATCTCAGTCGAGCTTTGCAAAGAATCCTGTAAATAGTTGTCGTGTTCATCCAACGACATCTCGTACCCAACAGAACTCAAGTCCTCCATTCCTTCAGTAAAATTCATGTCTGCCGGAAGACCACAACAGAAATTCGAGCCCATAGTCGACTGAGATAGGGAGCTGCTATGAGATCGAGATGATCTTGTGAATTTGGTACTTCTGGGCGAGGTACCAGCTATTCGCAGGCTCTTTTGTCTGAGATGCTCGATTGCATTATTAAGATGACTGAGCCTTCTTTGTAACAGAAGCCCCACAACAAGTTGCTTCTCCTCGCACGCTAGTTGATAGCTACCCACAAAGGAGGGATCCGAGTTGAATACAGGGGATGAACAACCATTCTTAGATGCCATGTCATCCTTCTTTTCGTTTGGTGGAGACTGGTATCCATGTTGATGACCAGTCTCCTTGATTAGATTCAACAGAGCCCGGAGGGCCATGGCTGATAAGACCAATATATCTTTGTCGTCACTATGCTGGCAGCTTGGGCATTGCTGATGCATTTGCCATGCCGCAAGAGAGTCTCTGGCCACAGTGAGAACAAAGTCTGGCCGAAGCGTCTGTCGAGAACGGCTAAGCGACTTGAAATTGGCAAGCTGCTCGATCGACTGTTGGACGCAATTACACGTAGAAAAAGAAGATCCATGTGGTACTGACGTACTAAGAGACTTGGGATCGTGAACTGGAGACGTCTCCTGTTCTGCCAACTGAGGGCCTTTGTGGATATGACCAGAGCTATCAGAGCGCGGGAGTATGATGCCCGGGTTATCGAACAGAGAGGCCACCCAGGAAATCTCTGCCGATATATCGTCGGATGTGTCGGTTGGATTGAATAACATGGAATCGGGAGAGGCCCGAGAGTGGTTCAGACAGGGTCCCTGTTACAGTTCAAGAGCTTGTCAGCGTTTCTCGTCCACAAATTGTGACTAAAACCAGCTCAATTTGCTGTAGCAATATGAAAGGGGCAATGTATACCGATAAAGATGGTGTACAATCTCTCGACTGGTAGTGTCCAGAATCAGGCATAGGAAAGCAGTCCCAGAATTGGACCGGACTTGTGAGATTTTGGTCCAATTGATTTTCCGGTAGACTTGGTGGTGTGGAGGTTGATCTATGTTTAACTCGTTCATTAGAAAGGCCCCGGGAGATCGCGGATCGATGGCTTGCTTCCGAGGAAGCCGTTTGCTGTACAAGGATGTTCAGTCAGCTCGTTGATCAATGTGTCTCTCTAACAGCCTTGTTTTGGGAGAGGGTGCTAGCATCTGCTTTCAACATACGCTTCCAGAGGTGTCTTCTTCCTGCTCGCTGTTATTGGCCGCGCCTAGCTGTTTGATTCGTTCGAGCGTCTTTTTGTTCTTCGCACCTTTGGGCCGACCGGGTCGATTGGACGTGCTATAGGTGCATTTGACGCCCAGCTTGTCGCATCCCTCACAGGGTGTACCTCCGCTGCACCTGACTTTGCCCTGATGACAGAAATCGCAAGCCGACCGAAGGCTTGTTTGCCCGGGCGTAGTCTTACTCGGGAGGGTGTTGTTCATCGTGCACGGGTAATAATAGAGGAGGTCAGATCTTCCGTTTCTGCCAAGCCGGCTTGGCCTTGTGCATGGGCAAATATATACCTGTCGGGGACATCTGGTCTGCTTTAAATCGACTTTCGGCCACAACTGCTAGTGAAGGTTTCGAAAATCAACGTTTCCACGCCCGAGGCCGTTCTCAAACTCGACAGGAACCTAGTCAAGATTGGTAGCATTGTCGTCAGCCACTAGTCAGGCTCGTTCTGACCTTTGTCTTCTTTTGCCCGTGGATTGCCTTACGTGGAGTCGAAATAGCGCAATCCTGATGCCCACAGGCCGCGTGGGGCGACGTTGTATCCTTTGTGCAGAAAGTATGAACATGAAACTTTGGACTGGGCGGTGGGGGCCAAGTTACTAGTAGACATGGCGCTCCCATGAAGATGGCGCTGATTATGTTCTGGTTCAATGGAATATGAAGCCAAGGGCACGGAATAAGAATGCAGCCCATTCCAGCTTACGGACAAGCATATCCATACTTATATTGCCTTGCTTCTGATACAAATAACCCATGGTGTACCAATTTCGCCCGCTGTACAGGGCATCCTGCACACTAAAGGTGCACTCTAATGCTTGCCGGTGGAGTTCTCGGGCGTCGCCACAGTCTGTTATGCGTAATTACAAAGGCTAGTTCGTTTAGACCCGCCACGGGACGGGTATTTTGTTTGTCCCAAGCCGTGGATCAGGGAGCACTGCCGACCTGAAAATACTGAGGAGGTGCGGAGTTCCTTGGACACTTGTCTCCTAGCCTGGCTTGGCAGGTTGCTTTGCTGACCATGAAGCCATTGTGACGAATGTCTTGTTAGGCCATTTGCACTGGTTTACTAAAATAACTAGCCACAAATTGGTGACAATATCGTTGCTATAATAGGTGAATGGTCTATGACAATTCGAAATCCTGAATTCGCAGTCCACATAAAAGTTCAGTGTCAATACACATCTTCCAAGGGAATTATATCCCGAGCATAAACAAAATACCTAACTTCCATCAACTTGTAACAATCGAGATCAGCATCTGTTTCCTGATTGGGACTAGCGCGCCTGGCGGCCTATCTGCCAGGCCTCACTTCCCTTTCTGTTTCTTTTTCTTCTTCTTCCTCAGACTGAGTATCGCGCGTTCAAATGCACTTATTTTACGATAAACTGGCCTTCATCACACAACTTAGTACATTAGCACTGTAGATTCAAGGCTAAAAGACTAGCTAAAGCTATACACATCTCTTCAACGAAGGTTCTCAACTTATACTGACAGATCCGGATAGGAAGCATGTCAGATTATATCTGATTTGCAAAACCTCTTCATAATTCGTTAAAGGTGGAAGCGACATACTTTTCTGGAATGTTTGGATTGAACAAAGGAGAGAGGAGAAGGAATTTACAAAGATGAATAGATCCGTCCACTTCTACAGCATTGCGCTAAAATTATTTGATTAACTATTGAAGAGGGGGCGCTCTGGGGCAGTCTGTCATAGCAGACGGGTTGAAGCGGGAGACAGAATACAACCAATACCGCCAAACATATGATGCCGCATGCAGGGAGGGGGTGGTAACCGCGTCCGTTTCAGAGAAAGGAATGACAGGATAGTTGATGATGATATTCACAGCCAGCAGGCCTGCTCTATAAGTTTATCGTACTGCAAAAAGGGAATCTGGGCCTCAGGCACCAGGCCGCAGAGTTTTTCGAAATAGGAAACAGAGGCTGGTCGTCAGAAGTGCGCTCAATCAACAGAACTCAGCAAGCCGGGAAAATAGTCGCTAGTAAGCATCAATATCAGGGTGTCACCAACTCCCCCAATACACTATCTATTCCTTCAGTCTTGGGCCCGGTCAAATCCTGCGCTGAGGAAGAAGGATGAACGGAGCAAGTGATACAAAATATCTCCGTCGCTGTCGAACGGGTGACAATATCTTTTGAGGCGTTGACCTGCCTTTGGACAAAGCAGGTTGAGAAATGAGCTTATTATCAATCGTTGACAAATCCGTGTCAAGACGTTCTAGAATTAGACTCATGCGTAGAACTCGAATGAAGTGCTACCCATTTGGACCTTCCAACTCGAGGATCAGGAAGATAGGTTGAAATCAGTATGTATCAACTGCTGGCAAGCACAAACTTGTATCTCCTCTTTCTGTCAATAAAGATCACGGTGCTGAACATCGAGATTTGAAAACATAATCTGAGCGACCTTAAATTTGCATCGAACTCCGGTCTCTGTATACTACTGCGTTGAGTGAGCGGAAAACGATCCATTAGGCTTTCCTCTGGCCCCGAAAAGTGCTGCACACCGTTTAACAATGCAAACAATAATTTAAGGGCCAGAACTGTCTATGAACCTACTTATTCAGCAGACACAGGCTGTGTAGTGCGATAACTGCCAATGGATCCTCAATCGGTCAACTATGTTCAAAGCCTGCGAAGCACTGCGATGATAGTTGCCCCGACCGTGTGAAAGCAAAACGGCCATATTGCGATACACGGGCAATTACTATGAACCCAACATAAGTCATATGGTGGATTAATCAGGCAAGGGTGCGTCTTGAATTCGCACGGAAGCACACTGTACTAATTCACTGTTTTAATCAACCATATCAAGCATCGGTCTTGTGTCTTTATTACTGGGTAGTCCTTTTATGTGGAACGGTAATCTAGATCCTCAGGTAGAAACACATGAATTTGTTAGAATGACTCTGACGAGCAACTAGAAGCGCGCGCTGGCCCGGCAGCAAGGTGGCACACCTATCCTCCAATATGGCCGCCCATTGTTGGGAATTTACTGTCCTCGTCTCCTTTAACTGTTCGTACTTAGGCAATTGTCCCATCGGCTGCTTGTAGATCTATGAAGATCTCCCCAAGACGGCGCCCAGGTGATGACACAGCGCCTGCCATTTCCTCCACGATAGTTATAAGGGCATCCGCGATTCCGCTGGCCTCCACTTCGGTGAAGTGGCCTTGGTCATACATGACCGTGAGCCGATGTTGCAACTGGCCTGCCTTCGCGACTTCAACCACCAGCCCATACGGTTGGAACATCCGCACTTGCGACTTGGCCATGACCAGCCAGCGGAGTTCATCCGCATTGTCCGAGGGCTCGAATGGCTGGAAGAGGAAAAGAGACCCGTTGCCAGAGGTGACACGCGAGACACCGGCGACCTCGTAGATCTCATCGAGGCCCATGTTGCCATGCTCGGTGATCGCCCAGAACAGATCCTGCGTGTCTTGAAGGTACTGGACCATCGATGTCGTCGAGTCGACACTGCACTGGACCGGGAGGAAATTGGCCAGGGTACCGTTGACCGTCTGGGGATCGACGGGGCCCATATCGACATTGCGACCGCTGAGCAAATAGTCAAACCCGACATCCGATCGCGCAGTGGCTCGGGAGAGCCACACCTGGTAGGCGGCCTGGAAGATTACGGGGATAGTGACCCCAGCCGCATGCGCCATTGGCTCCAGATCGGTGGCGAAGATGCGACGGATAGACGCGTCGATCCGCGGGTTCTCACATTCGGGAAAGCGATTGTCCTTGCCAGCAAGAGTCTTATGCCAGAATGCGCGCGAGGAATTCCGATCGGAGCGATATACATTTAACGCAAAGTCCCGGAACTGGCCATGGGCCGGGGCTGGGAGACCTTGGCAGATGGCCGCAAAATGATCATCCAGGATGCGCAGCAAGGTTCCATCGTATACCGCATGGTTCATCTTGATGACCACGTCACAGGCACCGTCCAGGTAGGTAAGGACGGCGAACTTGATGAAGGGCGTCCCAAAGACGAATTGCTCATCCCAGAAGGCCTCGATGAACAGGGCTCTTTGCTCCTCGTCCTCGCAGCGGGCGAAGGTGACCGTGGGCACCCTCCGGTTCAGGACGACGCCGTACCACTGGGAATCAGATGCGCGCAGCCATGAGCTGCGCAGGATATCATCGACCTCTGTTAACTTGGTAGTGGCCTCCACCCATTTGTCAACATCGAATCCATCTGGCATGCGACGAACCGCCATAAGGACCCACATCTGCTCGGGACGAGCACCCTGCGTCAGAAATTCGACTTGGCCTGGGGGTGAGGGATATACTGTGGAAGCGTCAGTTTGGGTGTGATACAAGCATTTGTCGACGTACTGGAACGCCGTCGGACTCACCGTAATCGACATCCCGTTCCATATGGAGCCCTGCCTGCTGGATGGCATCAGCAACCGCTGTGGGGACGTCAAATGCTCTCAGAGGCTCCGTGTCAGTCTCGGCCTCGCGGACTTGCATAGTTGCAGCCATCCGGCCCAATTCGCCGCTACGCAGGATATTCTTGACACTTAGAACGTAGCCCGCACTGCGGGCTCGACTAGCGAGACTGATGGCCGCGATCGAGTCGCCACCTAGGGCCAGGAAGTTTGCCTTCTTGCCCAAACTTTCGGCGGGAGAGTCCAGCACTTGCATCCACAGGCTCTCCAGGGTCATTTCCGCCACGGTCTCTACCGGGACGACGGTGTGTTGTGCATCGCTCGCATCGAAGCTGTAGCGGTTGCGATTTATGGAATCCATGTCTTCGGCAGATTTTCGAAGGAGCTTCCGGTCCGTCTTGCGTGACGGCAACTTGGGAAGGTCGCCCATCGGAAACACGTACTTTGGCATCATGTACGGTGTCAGCGTGGTAAGGCCCTCTCGGAGCTGTGACCGGAAGCCGTGATAGTCGCCATCTGCATCTTGAATGTCGCTGGAGCGCATCGGGGTAAATATACAGAAGGCGGCGAGATGGGTTCGCTGATTGACCTGGATCGGTATCACGATCGCGTCATGCACCAAACCTGTCTGGTAGATGGCATGTTCTATCTCGGCCAGCTCGATCCGGTGTCCATGGATCTTGACTTGGTTGTCCTTGCGGCCCAGGCATTCGATTTCTCCACCGGGAAGCCATCGAGCCAGATCGCCGGTGCGATACATACGTTCCACTGTCAAGCATTAGCAGTCAGAGCTTTGTCAACGAATCCGTCGAACAGCAAAGAGACAATGACGTGAGAGGCATTAACATGGGAGGAGCGAACCTTGCAACACACTATTCCGAACGAAAGCTGCCGCAGTCAGCTCATCGCGGTTCAAATATCCATCAGTGACCTGTGGCCCGGCAATACAGAGCTCGCCTACGCCGCCGTATGGAACCAGGTCGAGCCCATCGGCCTGAAGAATAAACGCCATGACCGTGGGGAACGGCGCTCCAATGTTGCTCGGCCGGACCCCATCCCAGACGGCCTTGGTGGTCACTACCATCGCGGTCTCCGTAGGCCCGTACACGTTTAGTAGCTCGTGCTGCGCCCATTTGTCAATGACATCTCGTGTTAGGGGCTCGCCCCCCACAATCATCGTGCAGAAGGATGGCAATTCGCGGGGATCTAGCAGCTTGGCGACCGTGGGAGTCAAAATGGCCTGGCGGACCTTCATGGTGCGAATCCGGCCCGCCAGGTCCGACTGGAGCTGATCAGTGGGAGCCAGGCAGAGGGTACCTCCTGTGCTGAGGGTGTTGAAGAAGTCCTGCACTGATGCATCAAACACATAGTTGGCAAACTGTAGGGAGCGCCACTCGCCCCTGTACCGGCCCTCGATCTTTGCCATACTCACCACCGCGGCAGCCGCAGCGCGGTGGGGGCACCTTCACGCCCTTCGGCATGCCGGTGCTTCCCGAGGTGTAGATCACATACGCCGGTTGGTCGGGGGTGACAGAGACATTAGGCCGTTCGGTGGAAACATCAGCCAGCGGCAGCTGATCTATGTGCATGTGGGAAAGACCGTCGTTGATAGGAATTAACGTGGAATGGACGGTCTGGGTGATGACCAGCCTGGCCTGGACCTCGCCGATGATGAACGCATTGCGGTCTAGGGGATTGTCTGGGCTCAGCGGCACATAGGCCGCCCCGGCTTTCATGACCCCGAGAATGGCAACCAGCATATCAACCGACTTATCCAACATCAGTGGAATCATGTCTCCAACGGAGACACCATGACGCTGGACCAACTCGTTGGCCAGCTGGTTGGCTCGCAGATCCAGCTGTAGGTACGAAGTGGTGTCTTCCCCGTTCCAGTCAATGGCGATTGCCTCCGGCGTGCCCGCCGCATGTCGTTCGAAGGCCTCCTGCAGCAGCTCAGGCCAAGGCACATGAAGCTGGCGGCGATTGGACAGCTCGTTCGACAGGAATTCTCTCTCAGTGTTACCAATGACATCTACTGCGGAGGCTGGTTGATGTGGATCCTCCAACACAGCCAGAAGAATGCGGCAGAAGGATTCCATGATGAACTGGGCCTGGCGCTCTTCCATTTTGGCAGTTAGGGTGATCTGGAGATGCCCGGGATCATTCGTGACAACTTCCAGCGTGGTAAACTCGGACTCCCATGGCGGTCTCTTGCCAAAGGGTTGCCACATTGTTCGCTCCTTGTCAGAACGGTCGTCTGGAGGGGGAGGATATTGACCATGGTATCCATGGCATCAGGTCGTAGATGTGCGGCGGACAACGCCTTTTTCAATCCACGAGGTGCATACTTGGTCATACGCAAGAGGTCGCGGCTCACGATTTGGATCAGGTCTAGAAGCGAGGAGTCCGCGGGAATTGATAAGCGGAGGGGAGCCATGTTGAGAGTAGGCCCATCGATGTGTTCCACTTCCACCACGGGGATGTCGCGGCCGGCTAAGGCTGTCGCGAAGAGCACTTCCGAGCTACTTGTTCGCCGGCCCAGCACGATCCCCCATGCCATGTAGATAGCAGCCCCCGGGGAGAGCCCGTGCAGCTGCAGCGCCTGCCGCAAGTCGATAGGCAGAGTCTGTTGAACGATTCTGGTCTCACGCTGGGGAGTCGTATTCAGCTGGGTGGGTTCCGTGTTGGACAGATAGCTCTGCCAGAAAGCATCATATTCTTCCAGGGGTAGAGATTGCAGATGTCGAATGACGTGGCTGAAGGAGGGTCGGGAAGGCACCGGGTGGCCCAAATACGTAGCTGCAACATCCTCGTACAGGAACCTATGGGACCAGTAATCGAAGAGGGCGTGATGCATGGTCACCACGAGCAGACTCTGTGAGCCGCGTGAGAGAACAGCCAGACGCAGTTGTAGATCAGACATGGCGAATCGCTGGCTTTTATCGACCGCCAGATACTCCTCCAAACTCTGATCGAGTACAACCCATGGCAGGGTGAGATCGGATCGAACGAGCTGCAGAAAGCCGGCGCGGTGCGGCATAAATGATGTCCGGAGGATGTCTCGTTGCGCAAAGACGTGCTTAAAGCTGGTTTGTAGGCGTTGCAGGTCGAGGTGTGAAACATCCCACACGCGCTGGTAGGCGTAGCGGTCCTCTCCCTCGCTCTGCAGCGACGTGGCTAGAATGCCTTCCTGCAACGGTGTGGCTGGGTAGGCGTCTGAGAGGTCTGAATTGTCGTGTAACAAGCTAGCGGCATCTTTTGGAACCAGGGAGAATGCCTCTGGGGCATCGATGTGTTGTTTCTGAAAGGCAAAGCCTGCGGCAGCGGTCTGCTCCACTGACGAGCCGTCCAGCAAAGTCTCAAGTTCTATTACCAGACCACGTCGGCGATGGACTCCGACGGCCTTAATGGCATCGACTGAGCTCCCCCCAAGGAAATGAACGAATGGGCGCGACGGATTGAGGCAACCGGGATACCTAGAACCTCAGACCATGCCTCTGCGATGCCAGTCTGCTCCGCGTCGAGAGAGCCATCATTTGCCTCGACATCGGGAGCACTGAATTGAGCCAGACGAGCCACTCCGAGTTCCACGGCCATTTCTTGGATGCGCTTGACGTCCGTCTTGCCGTTTCCAGTCGTTGGGAGTTTCTTCATCGGCAGCCAGAAGGAGGGTATCATGTAGCGCGGGAGTGTTTCGGCCGCCAGTTCACGGATGGATGGCAGCACATCGGACCATGAGGGCACATCGGAGTTCATAACAATAGCGGACAGTAGCCGGGGTCGGCCGGAGAGATCGAGAACCACCGTTGCGGAGGCCCCGACGTTGGTGTGATGCCGGAGCGCCTGGTCAATCTCGGCCGGGTTCACCTTCTGGCCGTCAATCTTGGCCTGCCAGTCCAGGCGCCCCAGAATCTCGAATGAACCGTCCGAGTGCATACGTGCCACATCTCCTGTGCGATAGAGCTGGCCGAGGCCAAAGGGGTTGGGAATGAAAGCGCGTTCGGTCTGCTCCACGTCGTGGAGATACCCAGAGGCCAGCTGGGGGCCCGCCAGGCAGAGCTCGCCCGAGACACCGATGGGGGCCAGCTCTGTAGTTTCTGGCAGTAACACATAGGCTCGGGTGGTATCTGCGGGCCGACCTACGATACATGGGTTGCTTCCAGGGGTCAAGATGCAGCCGAAGTTCAGCTGCGTGCATTCGCTTAGGCCAAAGGTGTTGCGGAGCTGGACTTGGCCTGACCAGAGCTCAACCATCTCTGGTGGAATGGCCTCGCCGACGAGCGTGATTTGTTTCACATGTGGCACCTGCGACGGCTCAAGAACTGACAGGGCGGACGGGGTGATGCCCATGGCCTCAACCTGCATTTCTGTGACCACAGCCGGCAGCTCGGAAATCAGACGCGCTTTGCTTGCCAGCAGCAACGTACCGCCGTGCACCAACGTAGCCAGCATGGTCCGCTGCGCCGCCGAAAAGCTCGGGCTGTAGAAGAGCAGCCAACGCTGCAACCCATTCAACGAATGATGCTGTATGCCGGCTGTCGCGGCTCCATGTGAGACGACAACTCCCTTGGGGATTCCCGTGGACCCGGACGTGTAGATCAGATAGCAGCGCTCCTCGGGCTCGACGTCCAGCGACAGGTTGAATGGCTCCAGTGTCTGTGCCAGTCGAAGGCAATCCTCAATGGGCCGCGCTTTAGGCAGCTCTGCACAATACGCTCGGTTGGCCAGGACCACCGGAGCATCACAGTTCTCTGCAATGCGACGATTCCTCTCTGTGGCGCCATCGGGATCGAGGATTGTGTAGGCGGCGCCCGCTTTGAGAACAGCCAGAATCCCGACGATAAGGGTGATTGAGCGGTCGATGCATAGGGGGATAATTTCACCACGCACCGGCCCTAGGACGCGCGCGACTCGGTTGGCCTGTGCATTCAGCTCGGCGAAGCTGAGCCGGTCGTGCTCGAACTCCACCGCAGTTCGCTCGGGGCTGCGAGCGACCTGCTCCTCAAAGAGCTGAGTCACACTGTTTTTGGAGGGTTCCAATTCTCGGGCTGACTGTGCGGCGCTCCGGACAATCTGGCTCTTCTCTTCTTCCGAGGCAAGTTCCACATGGCTGATGATGGAATGAGGAAGGTAGAACTTGCGAGCCGCACTCGACAGAGCCTGGACAAAATGCTGCACCAGAATGTCCACGTCAGGAGCAGGAATACTCGCGTTGTAACAGCAGGTAATCTGCACTTTGCTAACCCCGGTGATAAACACAGCCAAGGGGAATCCGGTGAGTTGGCCAGCCAGGCTTGGACCCCCCAGGTCGGGAGCATACGTGATGACCGAGTCGACGGGTGCTGTCATGTCACGAGTAATTTCGCGATACCCAAGATAGCCATGAGGTGAGGCAGCGGCATGATAGACTTCCAACCGGGTGAACAGTTCCTTGAAGGTCTCCTCTGGGCTCACGGAGACCCGCACGGGGTAGATTTGGTCAATCAGTCCAACACAGGACTCCACCCCAGGAAAGCTGGCATCCCGCCGGGAGGCTGCGAAGAGGACGTCCCGTTGACTATGATGATAGTGCAGAACGGTGGCCCAGAGAGCTTCGTATAGGATTTGACGGGGCCAGCCACATGCTATTTCCAGCTCGGCCAGGCCGGCAACGTCGTGGTCCGCCAACGTCATGGAAACAGTTGATCGCTGACTGACCGGCTCCCAAATCTGTAGTCGGCTGCTCTTACCGGTCACATCATGAAGAGTGTCCTGCCAGAAGGTACGGCTTGCAGCTAAATGTTTTGCAGCAAGATGACGAATCAGATAGGACCGCAGCGGTGTATGCTCTGGAATGGGCAACCCGCAATAAAGGAGCGCGAAGTCGCGCCTGATGAGACCAAGAGACGTGGTGTCCACGAGAGCCCGGTGGATTTGGAGAGTCACCCGATAAAAAGGTGAAAGAGGATTCCGATGGACTGTCAGCCGCGCCAGGGATTTTAGGAGATCTTCGCCTTCGAACGGCGTAGATTCCGCCGGCGTGGAGGGACCCGACGATGGCGGCGTCCATGTAGGGTCTACATGCCATCGCGCTTCGGAGGCCTGCAGACGCACCTGCTGGATAATCTGACCCGATTGGTTGTCAACGGCGAAGGCTGTGCGGAGGCATGTATCTGGACAGGCCACAAGTCTGGTTAAGGTATTGTTCTATCCACACGCGGGAAGGGTCTTTGGCACACATACGATGAGAGGTCAGGGCTTTCCAGGTCCACTGGATGTGTGTCAAGCTGGGAGGGGGTTGCTGCGGCAGGACTAGATTGAGCTTGCACCACTGCACCGTGTCAGACTCGAGAATCTGGTATTGCAATGGAGTTGCTGGCAGCTCGGTTTCGACCTTCTTGTCTGCGAAGAACGGATACTCGTCCAGCTCCCCCGACAGATCAGGAAGGAATTCCACATGTTCGAAGGGATTGGCTGACCGCAGGTCGATGTTCCGGTGACTGGTCACAGCCATTGTGGATGGAAGAGATGTCTTGCAGAGAAATACGGGACAAGGAAAAGCGATATAAGAAAGAACAAGAAGAATACAGGGGAAATAGAGCAAAAGACACAACAATGTGTATTATAATGATAAAGGCCCGCAGGGCTGGAAGGTCTACAAAAAGATGGAAATAACATTCGGCCAATATATATCTTCCTAGGAGTATTTCCGGCATCTAAATTCACTATGAAACATCCAAGAAATAAGGAAAATACGCGAGAACTGGCGTTGATGTTCGATGGCAACTGACTGACAACGCTACGATAACTACTCCATCTCCATAATAGGGAATAATCGCTCTGGTCGGCGATGCTCCGGGGTGTTCCCGACACTAAGCCATGCGCCGGGGTGTGCCCTAGACCAATGGCCCAGACCAATGGCTTAGTCTGGGGCACACCCCGTCTCTCTATAAGCACAAATAGGCCCTAAGGAGAGCTACATAGACTAGACAATGGACAATAGACCCATGCATATCTAAAGCGGGCTATAGCATCCAAGCTAGGTGCATCAACAATACTTTAGGATTTTGCCTTGAAAAATTATATCAGAAGCTGTTAGGAGTTGACGCGCCTTTGCACCGTAGACGCCACCATACCAGTTCGAAGTCTACCTGCACGAGGAGAGCACCCCCATCGCCATGTGGAGATGGTGAATACGACTTCTGTGGGTACTATTTCTGAAAGGTTCCCAATGGCCACAAGGTTTGCCACGAGGGTAGATGGAACGGCAATGAGTTTGGGTGGAGTCATTGGTGATACAGTGGGCGAGCTTCGGGCGGTTATTTCGGAGGATTTTTAGGGTTTTTACCTATACCACCCGAGTAAAATGTCACGGTAATTTGGAAAAACCTCAGATTTGAAAATTACTCTGAATATCGGAACGCTCTCTCGTGTCGATGGGATCAGAGGGGCATGTCATATCCATTCCGCTCGTGGTTGTCCGGAGATGGCATGGATCTCACGAAGGATTTAAGTCTACCGCTGGTATAAAAGAGGGGAGCCTTTCCCTTTCCTCGTTGTATTCACTATAACTCCCCATCTTCATCTCATTGGCATCTCTTAGATCTAACGTTTATTTTCATTCGCTCCCATATTCTCACCACGCCCGATATACTCCCCTTCCAGGACCTTTTCACCATGACTTCGTGGGACAACCGAGAAGTCACAAACGAGCATTTACTCCCTTACGTGGACTCAGAGACTGCACCTGCAGACGTCCAGACAGCACTCCGGACTCTTCCCTTTGAGCGAAACATTTTCAAGGTCTCTCACTGCCTCTTTCCCTTGTATATTCCATCTCTACGGATGAGCTGACTACCCACAGCTTATCGCCAATGCACCGGTATTCTTCCCCACGTTCATGAAGCTCCTGACGTGCGCATGGTCCCCAGAGCGTGCTCTGCGATCGACGGATTGGCAGATCATCGTCCTACGCACCGCCTCGCTCCTTAACGCTCCGTACGAATGGGACGTCAACGAGCCTGTGGCGCGCGTCTTTGGCATGACTGACGAGCACCTGAAGTATCTTCGTAGTGGAGATTTGTCCTCGCGGGAGCTTTTCACAAACCGTCAACGCCTCATCAGCTCCGTGGTCGAAGAGCTCTGCTTGAAAGACCGCGTGGCCGAGGACAAGGTCCAGCAATGCAAGGAGATCTTTGGCGATCAGGGACTCATGGAACTGTTCTTCACGCAAACTATCTATGCTTTTTTGGCGCGGACCATGAATAGCTGCAAGATTGACTTTGACCACCCGATCCCAGGGCTGGAGGACATGCTACGCAAGTACAATGCAGCTACTATTGAGAAGGAGATGCAATATACGGACTAATTAGGTCGCGGGGCTGGGACAGCGAGCACAACAAATTGGAAGAGGAGGACGTGGAGGAGAGGGTTGGGGTGACATAAAGCCCATGTAATTACATCTACTCGTCCTAACACACCTTCCTATTCTTGCTGTTTGTAGAGTATCTTTTGAAGAGCTCTGCCAAGGAGAGAGTCAGAATATAGCACTAGGCCCAACGGGGCTAGAACTGCAAAGCGTACTCCGATGAATAAGGATGACCATGATGTAAACGAACCACTCTGATTCGGCCCGGTAATAACGCCGCGTATGTCAGGTACGGAAAAAAATGGAAGAAGCGTCTACCACACCCTTGAGTGTATTGCACCTACTACGCGATTCCATCTGCTTAGAGGAATTTGTTTCACTAAGTCTCGCTCGTTGCGCTATACAACCACACCGGTTAACACTGAATATCACACCGTGGAAGTTCTAGTAAGAGTAGCTGCATGTGTAGGCCTTTTGGCCGAATGGGATTCCTCAACACAAACTACATACACACTATATGGGTCGTTGATTTCCGGGTCCGAACACAAAGACCTGCTTGCGCACCCCCACTTGCTGCTTAGCCCGGGGCGCGGCAGTTTGCAATGCCTGCTTCACGGTCGCCTCCAGACTTGGTCCTGTTTCCCATGACACCCGGTCCACTGCAGGCGTTCTAAGCGAGCCCGTTTCAAACAAGCGACAAAACCAAGTCATCAAATCTTCTTGCTGGGACTGTGAGAAGTGAGCCAGAGCTTGTGACAGCCGAAAGTGTTTGAATTTAATTTGTTTCCAGAAAATCAGCTCTTGTGTCAATCCAATGGACTCAGTTGCACCTCCAAGCGAGCCATAGTTGACGTAGGTGCCCCCAGTAGTCAGTAGCCCTGCCAAGCGCGCCCCGGAGCTGCCAAAAACGGCATCCAGAGCCAGCACAATGCGCTTCTGCGCCGCCAGGACTGGGCCCTGAGCGGCCAGTTCCGTTTCGGTTACCACCAGGTCGGCTCCCAAGGCGAGCAGCTGCTTCCGGGTCGAGTCCACATCGTCCCGGTCCCGTATGATGCTGAGAGAGTGGCATCCACGCAGTCGAGCGAATTGAATAACCATCTGTGCGATCACGCCCGTGGCAGCGTTGAGCACGACCCAGTCGCCCGGCCGCAGATCTTGCCTGCTCTGGAGGAGCAGGTAGGCAGGTCCGCAGCCCATCTTGAGAAGGGCGGCACTGACGGAGTCGAGGTGCGAGGATGGGACCTGGAGCAGCGAACTGGCGGGGACGACTGCCTGCGATCGCCAGGTGCCCAGCCCGTGCTGGCGGGGGATAACCTGATCGCCTGGCTGTAAATTTGTCACGGCAGATCCGATGCGCTCCACTCGAGCCACGCCGTCATAGCCTGGGATGGGCTCCCCCTCGCACTGCTGGGCGGGCTGGACGGGATATTTCCCGGCAATTACGAGCAGGTCCTGCGGGTTGATGGGGGCCGCCAGAAACTGGATGCACACCTCCTCCGGGCCTAACTCGGTCTGTCTGGAGTCATACTCGATGACTCGAACGACGTCGGACGGGTTGTTGGAGTGTTTCCGGAAGGTCACTGTCTGAGCGGACATGTTTTTTGTTTCCTCTTTGGTTAGAGGGTCCAGAAGGGTGTGGATGTGATCGATCGATCAAGTAGCTAGGGACCGGGTGAATGCAAATCTTGCAACCAGGGCAGAATGGACGCAGCTGGGATAGAGCAAAAAAACCAGCAAACTGAAGGCGTAATCTCCATTTGTATTGACGATTGGCAGCTTGCCTTGGTGCCTGTGCGTGGAGTGCAGACCTCCAGGGCGTAGTGGGCCTTCGGCGTCGGCTTCGGCTTTGGCAAAAATACCGCAGTCAACATAAGAATGCGGGACCGGTGGCGGACGGGTGGTGCGGGCCGTGTAGGATACGAGATAAGATCGACGTTTCTTAACCTTCTTCGTTCTTGGCAGAGCTCCACAAAGCCTGCAGGACACCACGCCTCTCCAGCGGCCCTTTTTTCTCGGGCTTACCTTCCTCCGTTTGTTTCATTCCTTCTTTCAACTCTTTATTTTAACCCATTTTTCTCGCCGGCTTCGGCCTCCTTCGGCCTCCGTATGGACCTTGATGACAAATTTCGCGGCACCTAGCTAGGGGATGCACCCCCGGTTGATTTATTTGGCCCTATGTATCATGTCTCCTTTAAATATACCCCGAATTGTGTTGAATACTGAAAACAATCCCACATATCGTCTCCTTGGCCCGCCGTTGGAAATTTGACCTCATCCTCCAAAGCATGTCTATGTCTTCTGCTTCCAATAATTGTCCTCCCGAGATTCTGGAAATGGCTCCGGCCTCCGACGCCGAGGAGGCAAGCCAGAGCCCATCCCCGTCAAAGCAATCGAACGAAATCCCCAATGGTGGGCTGAAGGCCTGGTTGCAAGTGCTGGGTTCATTTCTGCTCTTCCTCAACACCTGGTATGCACGCGGCTTCCCTTTGCCCTTTCCCGTTTTCTTCGCCTCGCAACATCAAACTGATTATGCCCCAGGGGGGTCATCAATTCCTTTGGGGCATTCCAGACATACTACAAAGACGACCTGCTGCGCAATGTATCCAATTCAGACATCTCCTGGATCGGCTCCGTCCAGGCCTGCCTCCTGCTCATCGTCGGGGTCGCCACCGGGCCATTGTTCGACGCCGGCTACTTCTACATCTTACTGACCGTGGGATCGTTTCTAGTAGTCTTTGGCATGTTCATGACCAGCCTGTGCACCGAGTTCTGGCAGGTGATGTTGGCCCATGGCATAACCATTGGCCTAGGGAGCGGCTGTCTCTTTATCCCCAGCGTGGCCATTGTCTCTACCTACTTCACTACCAAAAAGTCCTTTGCGACGGGCATCGCCGCCTCAGGGAGCAGTCTGGGAGGCATCATCTACCCAATCGTCTTCGCTCGGTTGCAGCCACGCATTGGCTTTGGTTGGGCTACGCGTGTGATTGCGTTCCTGATGCTGGGCATGATGCTGGTCTGTATTGCGGTGATGCGCGTGCGGGTCCTGCCTCCGCAGAAACGCCGTCTACTAGAGCCCCGGGCCTTCCTGGAAGTACCGTTTACTATGTTTAACCTGGGCGAATTCTTCGGATTCATGGGCCTCTACATCCCCTTCTTCTACGTAGGGTCTTACGCCACCAGCAAAGGGGGCATGTCGACCAGCCTAGCCTTCTACATGCTGCCCATAATGAACGCCGGGTCTGTCTTTGGGCGGATTATTCCCAACTTCCTTGCCGACAAGACTGGTCCGCTGAACATGCTTCTGCCCTGTGCACTTATCTCAGCCCTACTGGCCTACTGTTGGATCGCCATCACCGACACCCCCGGCATCATTATCTATTGCATTCTCTACGGCTTCTTCTCCGGGACTTTTGTCTCACTACCTCCCACTACCGTCGTGAGCCTGTCGCCGAGTCTCCAGGTGGTCGGCACCCGCATGGGCATGAGTTTCTTTTTTGCGGGGCTAGGGTTACTGGTGGGAACTCCGGTGGCCGGGGCTATATTACAATCTCATGGCTGGCTCGGCACCCAGCTGTTCTGCGCCTGCTGCGTGGTTGTCGCTGGAGCGGCAATGATGGTGGCCCGGTGGGCGAAGGTCCCGACCTTGATGGCGAAAGCATAGAGATGAAACGAGAGAAATGGGGAATGTCGGATGGTGGAAACGATGACGCGTGGATCCAGTGGAGGCTGAATGAGTTTGGTAGGGGAGAGAAAGGAGGTAGCACGCTTTAGAGATCAATACTGGGCAACGACTGGCTTCACTTTCTCGAAAGGCCAAAAAGGCTGCCTCGATTAGATAAATTTGATAAGGGAATAAATTTGTTTATTGACTGGGACCGGCTGGATCTGATATTCTAGACTCTTCTTAGACAGCTCACGCTAGACATCTCCAATCATTACATCTGTTCGTAGGGTAAGTTGTAGGCACCTTTCAATGTGACGATACTGTTCGACTGACTCAATGGTTGCGAAGAAATGGGGTAAAGTATTGGCCTTAATGGGTTGCATGGATCTGTCAAATAATTCAATTTTATTAACCTGATAAGTCCTAACTATTGAAGCCTTGGTTACATGTGGCTGCTCCGAATGAAGCAAGGACTTCGCAATCCGACCACCAACATCCCAAATGAAGCTGCAGAAGACAAAAGAAATAGCGTAGAGCCAGTAGAACGTATGGAAACCGCTGTCTCGCCGCTAAAAACCAAAACCCGATAACCGTACTGAGTATGCTCAGTCTGTCACGTCTTCTTACTGGTTGCGGCGCTTGCTGTCCGGCCCAAGTGGCATCATTCCGCCAGGGCAATGCAATCGATCACTTCGCACTGTCGCCACAGACTTGTTTTTTTTTTAAAAAAAAAAGGATTTATCGGCGACTTTTTATTAAAGCCCTATCGGCGAATATTTTCGGCGATTTTTATCCAGTGCGGGGCTTGCGGAGGGCGAAAAATTAGCTCCAAATCAAGATCGCTTGGAAAGATCTCCATTAGTAAAACTTCTAGGACCGTGCGCAGAGCAGTGCTAGTGGAGTCATCCTTGCGTTTAGCGCCCCACCGGTGGAACAACGAAGTACTCAGGGCCCTATCAAAATTCCACGTAGCTCTGCGATTCGAAGCCGGCGGCATCCTCAATGACTTGAGTTCCTATTTGTTTCTGGAGGCCTGAGCCGGGATTATTTACCATTAGTTTCATCTCAGGGGTTCCGGTGGGCCCATCTTCAGCCTCGCTTCCACCGGACCAGCCGTCAAAGAGAGCATTCAGAAAGTGACACGGGCCAAGCTGCTTAGTGGCTAGTTCAAACCGTACTTTCTGGATTATTTTGGCGATCCTTGTGCCCGAGGGTCAGAGAGATTCGTCAGCAGGTCCAGACACGGTATTAGTGATGCATTGAAGGGTCTCTTTCAAAAGTAGTGTCAGGATCCACAGGGCAGCACCAGCTGCTTTACCACGGCTTTTGGCCAGGATGGCACAATGGTGATGCCTCTATGTAAGATGGGGAGTCTTCAATATTCACAGCAAAAAGATAGATCCGGCAACGAGAACTAGTCTGGCAGCTCCAAGTGATCTACTGGTCGTTTGGGGGCCTAAGCTTTGGGAACTGCCGTGATTTCGCCGATAATCATGCGAAACAGTTCCAATTTATTCTCATTGGTTACTCCGTATCTTAATAATCGTACTAGGCAAAGTGACCGTTTTGTAAATTTGCAGTTTGAAGTGTATCTCATTCCAGTGCGGGCCCGGCCGAGTATGCTCTTCCTGTCCTTAAAAAGGCTAATAGAGACGCGGATATGATGCAGCGAGCATATATTCTCCGCTAGCTAGCAGAATCTTTCTTGAACACGTTAACTCTTCGCTCTTCCTCCTTTTTTGGGTTACTTGTGCAAGAATTTCCCCTTTTCGCTAGCTAGAGGTTACAACGCCCACACGATGACAGTCGAGAAGCCATCATGGCAGTCAATTGCAGAGCGAAAACGAGCAGCGCTGCAGGAGTTGTTGCCAGTTTCTCTCCAGATTGAATCAGTCCCATCAGCGGACAATTTACCCAATGTGACCGGCTTTATTCAGACATTCCTCTCCCCTGCGGAGCTGGATATCACCGAGAACCACTCCGCGGAAGCCCTGCTGTCCAAGCTCACCGCTGGGGAGTTAACTGCAACGGAGGTTACGAAGGCTTTCTGCCATCGGGCGACAATTGCCCATCAACTTGTGAGTTGTTCGATAGTCCTACCCGACATCCCTGGCTAACCACCGTAACAGGTTAATTGCCTCAGTGAGATTCTCTTTCCTCAGGCGCTCAGTCGCGCAGAGGAATTGGATGATTACTATCGTACGCACGGAAAACCCATCGGCCCTCTGCACGGCCTTCCTATCTCCCTGAAAGATCAATTCCGGGTGGAGGGTACGGAGACCTCTCTGGGATATGTCGCTTGGTTGGACGCGGTTGAGACTCAGGAGACCGAATCCTGGCTGGTAAAGGCATTGAAAGGCATGGGTGCTATTATCATTGCGAAAACAAACGTTCCCAGCAGCTTGATGGTATGTTTGGTGGCCCCTGCGCGTATGGAAGTCAATGCTGATAGCGTGGTGTGACGCCAGGCCATCGAGACCAATAACAATATCGTTGGCTATACCACCAACCCTCATAACCGATTGCTGTCTTCCGGTGGATCTTCTGGAGGTAAGCAAAGAATGGTCTTTTTCTGGGAGGCGAAAGCGCTTGCTGATCTAGGCTACGGTTGGAACATATAGGAGAAGCTGCTCTTTTAAGCCTCCGAGGCAGTATTTTGGGATTTGGATCCGACCTTGGTCAGTTCCTTTCCGCAGCATATTCCCATCCAAGAGTCCACCATTCAGGAGCTGACAGTGGGACTTTCCCACAAGCAGGAGCCTCGATCCGTCTGCCTTGTTCGTTTACTGGAATCTCCGGCTTGAAGCCCTCTCATGGTCGACTCCCCTACCTTAAAGTCGCCAATAGTGTAGGCACAATGACTAGACTTCGTCCGAATATTCGCTGACACCTGGTGTAATTAGATGGAAGGTCATGAGACCGTTCCGTCTGTCATCGGCCCCATGGGCCACAACATCTCCGACCTTCGATTTGTTGTGCAGAAGGTCATAGAACACTCCCCGTGGCTGACCGATCCCAAAGTGATCCACCTTCCATGGCGATCAGAGATAGAAAACGAGGTCCACGAAAGAAAGGCCGCCAAACGACTCACCTTCGGTGTTCTGCGACATGACGGGGTCGTGAAACCACATCCACCAGTGGCGAGAGCGATTGAGCAGACTGTGCACGCGCTGGAGGCAGCAGGATACGAGGTTATAGAATCCGCTCCTTCAAAAAACGAGCAGTATTGACTCTCTGTAGGTCATCGAATGGTCGCCTCCTCCTCATTCGGAAGCCTTTCACATTTTGGTTAGTCCCCAACGGTCCTCACCACGGATTAGAGAGCAAATAATGACAGCCTCGGGACTACTAGTGGAACACGTTTGCTGTAGATGGGGGCATTGATATCCATCGAACTCTTCAACAAAGCGGTGAGCCACCGGTGCCTCAGCTGGCAGTGTCGTATGGCGAGAATCTTGGCCATCTTCCCGTTAGCACCGTCAATGATCTCTGGAAAATCCAACAGCAGCGATATGACTATCAGGTGCGCTACCTTGAATATTGGAACTCGACGGCCGCATGCACACGCTCTGGCCAGCCCGTTGACGCAATTATTGCCCCCACCTCCCCAACCACCGCGTATCGGCCTTCGGAGGGTATGTACTTCGGCTACACCGGCGTTTACAACGTGCTGGATTTCAGCACAGTGGCGGTACCAGTCACCAAGGTAGACAGAGCCCAGGATATCCAAGTTGAAGACTACTCTCCTTCTGGTGACCTTGATGCTGCAATTTGGAAGCAATGTAAGTGGCCCTGACTTAAAGTGACCTGCCACTGTTGCTGATGGACAACTCTGTTTTTTTCTTGTCCTTTCAGATAACCCGGATTTGTTCCATGGCTCCCCAGTCGGTGTCCAGGTTATTTGCAGAAGGCTGGAGGAGGAAAAAGTCCTGGCGATTGCGGAAGAGGTCCAGGCGACTCTGGGATGATGGGAATAAACCCTGGTCCCCAGAGGTTAACCGCGATGGTTAACCTGACTGTAGCCACATTAGCATAACTCTCGCTTAATTATCGGTTTTGAGTCTCCTGCATGGTGGTTCTGAAGCTTACACATGCCTATTACCCTCTTTTTTAAACACAATTTCCGGTTTTTCTAATTCAATTCTCTTATTTTGCGGCAACCGTAGTGTTAATAAGGAAAATCAGATTGTAAATGTTAAATGGAGCCTCTATTCAAGTAGTTTTACACTTTCTTTGAAGTAATTCGCGCTGTATATGGCTGTATCTTTATGATTTAGAATGGTGTGCAAGTTGAATCTTGAAAATATATATTGAAAGAGGGAGCACACAATGGCTAGTCCGCCTAAGCTGACGGGTCGAAGAGAGAGATACAAAACCTAAACCCAGTCATATAGGCATGAGAGGAAGAGCGTGTGAAGAAACAAATGATAGCAAACTGAGGCCGTGAGGCCTTGAGGCCTAAAGTAACTGAATCCGATTCGAAGGGTAAAAGATGTGTAAGATTGTTCTCCTATCTAGCCTTTCGCACTGCACATAACGTTTCATACAATTGAGGCCTCAGGCTGAAATCACCTGATAGTCAACAAATTCCCCTCTACAATAACTATACATATTCTATTCCAACCATTGCTACACTGGCACAGATAGAGACGGATGAGATATTTTGGCCCGCACGGGGCACCTGCGGTCTGAACACTGGCGATGTAGACCTCGTTGACGGAGGGCTACGGCGCCGTGAGGGCTGCAGGCGGGCCCGTGGCACTCCGTATATTCTAGGAGGAAAATAGCTATGCGGGAGCATACGTGGTATATACATGAGGGGGGTTCCGCGGTGGGCGGGAAGAAGCCGTCGCGGAGAGAGCCCGGCTCTCCCTCGAAACGGCGATGTTCTTTTCGAGGGAGGGGCAGGCCAGGCGATATTTGTGTGCGATGTCCAGCACGGAATATCGTGGGCCCGACGCACGGGGCTCTCATGCAACAGTCCCGAATAGAACATATCATCTGCATCTAGAGATCGCCGCCTTCGTCCCGCATATCGCGCTTAAATGTTCAATAGCGCAAGTGGTTCTACAAGTGATATCACACCACTTCCCGATAGGCCCAAGGGCATAGATGCATGTCATCGAACAGTGATCAACAGCGGATTATGCGATGTTGATGAATTCGGGTCTGATATAATTGCTTGATATATTATACTAAGTCTTTTGCTGCATGGTGTTACGGCCAGGAAGCTAATCATGGATCAACTTGTGCGATTCAAAGTATCGAAAATGAAGAGAAGAGAAAGGAGGAAAATAAATATCTAATAGGCGATATTGACATGTCCCAGGCCTCGTGCAATAACGATGAAATAACTGCGGAGAGCGTGATAGTTAACGGGTGAGGGTAGCTCGTCTTCCGGGTAGAAAGTGGGTCACACGTGAAGCAACATAGTCAGATCTACATTCTGCCTTACTAAACGAGACTACGTCAAGTGAGGTCACAGCGTTGATCGCCATCTCCTAAATGAACTATCGATTCTTAGGTGGGTAATATTTGAGCTCTTAAAGAAGCCCTCAGTAGTGTGACTAGTGTCAGTGAAGATATCACGTGAGGCAACACTAAAAAACTACTCCCCTAACATTCGAAAGGTTGAATTCCATCGTGTATCCATTCGTACTCAATGGAATTATCTGTGAAGTTCATGCGCTTACAATTGTTATTCCATACTTGTGTGCGTTGCGGACTTCAGTGGATGCAGAGAGCTAGGATCCGAAGCTTTCCATGTGGTTCAACGGCCTAAAAAGACTGGCGTGCTCCATTAAGGTTCTCCTAGATAGAGAAAGCCTCGTTTGTATTACCAGATTTCAGATCAAGCAGAATGTCCCTCACAATGAGGTTGATAATATGGGCCAACCTCGTATATACCCACCTAACCCTTAGAATAAGGGATTAGAGTTCTTACAGACTGTGGACGTATTGTATTCAAATGTTGTATTCCTTGAGGCGAGTTGTAATCATAAATGTGGAGCGGGTTAACCCGCTTCCGAATCTATTGCCGGGCCCACCAGAATATTGAAACCTACCAGTAGCAATCACTAGCATCATGCAGGGAAACACTCAACAGCGAATAGTATGTATAGCCGTGTAGATCATTCTCATTCTATATAATAATGATTGTAGGGATGTTTTTTCTTTCTTTCTTTCTTTCTTTTTTTTTCAGCTCACCCTCCACTCTGCAAACCACCGCTTTGATATCAGGTCAGATGGTCAGATAGTTATCAATAGTGCTGTAGATCATATTCCAGACCACTGGATTATGTATTCACTTGGGCATCGAGTCACTATGAGGAAGAACTCTTGTCAAGCCCATAAATAATCGCCTCTTACCCGATATCCGACTCGGAATGCCCGCAGATTACAACAATTGATACCTTCTATACCCAACCCATCAATATTCATTTCATCGCCATATCTCAATCACGTTTCCTAGCTCCTTGAAGTCACAATGAAGCTTTCAGCGCTGCTCGCAGTTTCCGCGTTTCTTGCAGAGGGAATCCTTGCACTCAATTGCAAGGATGGATTGAATTACTGTGGCAGGTCGATCATGCTCAAGAACCCCGATAGTAAGGAAGCACAACAACTATTGAGTACATGCCCATCAAGGACTGTTAGATGTGCTAACTTTGAATCTCAGATGACGAAGAATATTCTGACAATGATCTTGTTCATTGCGTGAATGGAAACGGACCCAACTACCTCTATCGTGAGGAGGTATGCTATGGGGGATGCATCGAGGCCCCCGACGGCAAGAGTGACTACTGTACGCGTAAGTCCTAAAGTTTCCCCCCTCTCCTTCTCTCTTTTCCTCTCATGTTTCTTTGATTGAATCCCTTTGTTGGACATTTACCTTATCCATCTACCTAGGCTAAAAGCTAATTTAACCACAGCATTTGCCGGATTCATCGTGACCACTGCTACAGAAAACTGCATCAAATTAGCGGATGCCTCTCATCGCTCCTCGGTCGAAACAGCCGAGAAAAAACCAAAATCTGTAGCTAAGATCTTGCTTCTGGAAGCTGATATCAGGTATTTCCATACAATGGCTGTCTGCACGCTTCTTTCAGGGGGCGCAAACAAAGGCAAAAGCGGCGAGGCGCTCTGGAAGCAGACGGTGGATTTCTATGCGAAGACGACAGATAGGCTCCAAAATGATTTGAATGAGCTGAAGAAGGAACAAAAGAACTAGCATAGGGCTGTTTGAAACAAATACACAGTGGTCTTAACATATATTCGGGCTACGAATGTGAAGGGCTACGGCCGAATTGATTCAATTGAGCGGTGCCAACATGCTGTTTATCTGAAGCTTAGAGTAGTTTAGAAATAAGGGGTGGCCAGCAATGACTAATATCCTGGGGAGTTGATAGATCACATCGCACAGGCTTGGCCTGGGCAATAGATCGGACTGACCCGTTACAGATTCAACTACAAAAGAAAGCTTCTTTGATTAAAGATCTACTTCGACAACAATTAAGAAGCCCCCCTACCCCGACCAAGATCGCTATTAATCAGCTAATTAAGGGCAGTTATTACTCAATGCATACTGCCGCGCTACTAGCGCAGGTAGTCACTGATTTACGTGCTGCGAACGAGAAGAAACGGCAAAAATGAGCACGAGCGAATCTCGTAGTCCTATACGAACAGCGTGTTACAGTTGGAGAGGGACTACCACTACCAGTGCAGCCAGTGCAGCCAGTTGAACATGTTGAACAGCCTCCGCCCGCACCGGTTGAATCGCCTATTTTGCCAACCCCACCAGCCAAACGTGCACCTCGGAGATGTAGCGGCTGTAATAATATTGGCCATTCAATTACCCGGTGCCCTAGTCGATAGTTTTCTTTTTTTTAATTAATAGTGTTTTCGTGGATTTATCTTCTAAAAATTTATTAACGTAATCGGTAAGCGAGCCGCGCATGTAAGCCAGTCGCGCACCTTAAGCAACCTATTAATTTTAAATGCATTTATTTCAACAAAAACGCTATTAATCTAATTCAGCTAACTTGCTGGTCTATCTGGGCACATCTCCCTTCTATGTCCCGGGCGCCTACATATTCCACATCCTCGCTGGGCCCGCGTAGGTGGCTGTAAACCCTCCGAAGGCCTTCCATCCCCGGGGGGCGGAGCGGGTTCAATTGCTTGCTGCGACTGCATTGTTAATGCAGAGGCCTCGAAAACCGAGAAGCCCTCAGTGGAAGGCATCTGCCTGCGAGATCTAGTGCGTTTTTGTTTCTTCTTCTCGTTTTCCGCCCGTAATCCTTTGACTTCCTCCGCTAGTAAAGTAGCGCTCTGCATCGAAAGTTGGCAGCCTTTAATAAGCTGGTTTAACGCTCGATCTGATGGGCTTGGTGGACTTCGAGACCCCGTACGAAGTAAAGCTTTGATTGATGAAGCTTGCCGACGTACTTGTTTATCGGTAAAAGGGGTTTTTGGTGTAAAATTCTGGCTTGATTCGCTATCCCGGCTCGGAGGGGGGTCGGGGTTCGAAGACAAATATCAAGCTTTAAGATCACTTGATCGGGTGAAAAAGGTACCAAACCAGCTGCTCTGAAGCTATTTATAATAGTATCGGAGCGGAAGGCTTCGTTTCGCGCGGAAGGATAAGCCTCGAGGAAATCAAGTTTGTCGATATGGTTGATTCCGTTCCGCATTTTCGTTTCAACTATCCGACCGTACGAGCGCTTTAACACGGCAAAACAGCCGATATCGAGTGGCTGTAAAAGGTGAGACGAGTGCGCAGGCATACAGATTGGTATAATATCGTTTTTTCACAAAGTTCATCGAATTTCGGAGTCAAATGGCTTCCGTGACCATCGAGTATCAAAAGTCGATACCTTCCCTTCACCCGCGAAGAAGTCGACGGAATAAAGAGCTTTTCGAGCCAACGAAGGCCGATCTCATCGGAAGTCCAGCCATTCGGACTAACCTCGAATCTCCAGTCTATCGGAAGATTATCGAACCAACCCTCGATCAAAACTTTGCCTTTAAAAATCACACACGGAGGGAGCGCCCACCCTGAAGCATTCGTACACTCGATTGTAGTCACCCACTCGCGATTTCCGGGCTGTAAAAGCGATCGCCGACCGTAGTATTCAGCCCTCGAGATAACCTTCGCGGTCGCTGTTAATCCCATCGCGAAACCAGTCTCATCGAAGTTATAAATATCGTCGGGATCGATGCCGTATTGAAGAATGGTTTTTTGAACAAGAGCAAACCACTCCCTAATGATTCTTGGATCTTCGCACTTCGCACGTTCGTAATTATAACGTCTTGAGAATCGGGATGATAGGCTTGGGTGTCGTTTTACGAAGTTATAAACCCATTTTTCTCCGACGGTTTGAACTGGTGTAGTTCCGCGGGCCGCGAGAAGAAGATTCGCAGTTTCGCGTACAGTAGATGGCCGGGGCGCTGCTCCGCGATCATCTAAAGAGAGTATCCATTTTTGAAGTGATTCCTCTTCGATTTCTGTTAATTTATGCGAATTTGCGCGAGAAATCGCGCGATTTGTGGTGCCGTGACGACGATCGCGAAGTGTAGTTTCAGGCACATTATAAATGCGCGCAGCTTTGCGAACGGAGGATATTTCTTGATTTTTAATAGCCTGGATGGCTAATAATATCCTACCCTCTTGCTCTGTTGAATTTGTAGAGCCTCTGGCACGAATTGGTGGCATGGTGGGTGGTTGAATGAATTAAGTGCTAATTCATAGACGCGTTTTGGGGTGGGTGCGCGACTGGCTTACATGCGCGGCTCGCTTACCGATTACGTTAACTATTTCAGGAGAACTGACCCAGTTGACAAAGTAGGCAACAGAGCGATATCCATCCGTACGTCGGAATGCAAGCTCGGTATTACCAGCGCTCTCAGATTCTAGATTAGCACTAGCTCTGATAAGGCACGCTAGGCCTAGTATAAAAGGTGTGACAAGCTGCATGATGAACGAAATGAAAATTGTTCCTATGAGGGATTCAGTAGAAGCAGCGTCGGTGTAGTGGTAGAGCCCGGAGAGGAGGGAGAACATTATTTATAATCTAAAGCAATTCGAACCTTACTTGCCTGTAGCCAGACCCAAAGCAGGCTGGCCCCAGTGTGACTGTGATTATCTGAAATATGACAGTGGGTGGGGTCTGCAAGTCATTGAGTTCACCAAAAAGGTGTCGCAGATTTACTGCTATAGCGGTTTTCCGACTCACCCAGACCAAGGGTACTATTATGCTCTCGCAGCTATTTGTGGAGTTGTTTGGTCTGTTACTGTAAAATTCGGTCGGCGCTTAGTCTGAGAGAGGACGGGAATTAGTAGTTACGGAAAGGATCTCACACGCGGTGGAGACGTACGGCCTGCTCCCGACTAGCCACTTCGGCGCCCGAAAGCAGCGGTCTGCGGAACAAGCACTCGTGTTTCTGTAAGAGCAAATCTACACAGCGTGGCGCGGCCGACGGGTATTGAGCTTGATCAGCTTCGATGTCAAAGGAGCCTACAATGGAGTGTGCAAAGAACGATTGCTTCAGAGGATGAAAGCGCGAGGTATACCGGAGGATCTGCTCCGGTGGGTTAAGGCGTTCTGCTCGGGACGAACGGCGACCATCCAAATCAATGGGCAATTGTCTGAGGTCTAAAGCCTGCTATAGGCTGGGCTACCGCAGGGCTCGCCGCTATCCCCGATTTTGTTCCTCTTCTTTAAACCCTAAAAGCCAATAAGCTCAACGTGAGCATTTACAGACAAAAATGCTACAGTAGTTTGCGAAATCAGTTATACCTCAACACTCTTGTGACTTCATTGTTTGGCCGGAAACTAGGCTATTTAAAAGGCCATAGTATTTTCCATCAACTTGGCCTTCCCTTTCGCCATCCCGGAAACACACAGTCGTCCCCGGAATTATGTTCTGGAATTCTTTTAGAGCTTCCGGAACCTGCTTCGTGTCCAAAGTTAAGATCTTCCATACTTCGGGTTGATCGCGCCAGGCTACGGCCAGCATGTTGAGTGCCTCGAAATGCCCCTTATACGTAATCTCATACCCGGGGTGAGACTCGTAGAAGAGCACAAACAAAAGTTCATTATCGCGGATTAAGTCTTTGAGTTGGTCAAGCCTAACGGTAGATTAAACCATGAATTAGGAAAACAGGAACGGGATAACTAGGAGATAGGTACATACGATGTAATAGGCGTGATTTGTTTCATTTTCTCCCGGGATGAGAGGTTGATAAGTTGGAGGTAGAAAAGGCTTGATATAAATATAGGTGCTGAAATCCGGAGATGATTAATAGGTGTGACGGGAGCCAGGAAAGACGGTAAGGGAAGAAAGGAGATGAAGAGATGGACGAGCAAATTGTCTAGCTTTAATAGCAGATGGTAGCTGAGGTTAGCGAGACAAATCTGCGATATGACGTATTTTTCATCCGCCTGATTGGCCATACGAATAGCCGGAGACGAACTGGTCGAGAGCCCAGTTTATCCAACAATCTACGCCTCCGCAGCAACATCCACTTCAGTGTAGCGTCATCATGCAGCTGTGTAATCTCCGGCAGACACCGCGTGCGAATACACTTTTCGTTGGAAGTTCCGTTCATAGGTTCATAGGATTCATCTATCTCGGGAGAAAAAAGCGGCCAGGATAGCCTGTTCTGTGTCTCTGTAAGCTACTAGTTCGTTAGAACTGACAAGCAGGGCCTGAACGCAACCCCAGTCCCCTTGCAACTACTGTATGTATACATAGTATTTCCACATAAATGCAGTTGTACGACGCTAAGGTCTCACCGCCACTGATCGGCAAAGCATCCAACAGACATGTTGTGGCAGGTGACCACAACACCACAACGCCCGGATGGAGATTATTTTAGTATGATGAGAAGGCCCGCATCCGCCAGACTCTAAAGCCATTTCTCTTTTTACATATTATTGAAAATTGGTGGCAGGAAAGATGAAATACTCTCAGCCAATAGAAACTCGGACGAAAATTCCAGCCAATAGAAACTCGGACGAAAGTTTCAGCCAATAGAAACTCGGACGAAAACCCAGACTAGTCACGTGCCATTCCCTCTACTGACCGGGGTTCTGTCTGTTGTGCTAGGCGTAAACAGGAGGCAGTAAGCATCCAAAACTTGTATTCTCACAACTAGACAGTCGCATAATCATCAACATATGATATTATGATCCAATTTAATCATGACACACACAAATCTAGATCCATTGACTGCCATTCACGGTGCACACATATGTCTCTGCCAGTGAGCGCTGATTGTTGTGCTCAGTGCCAAGAAATGATATATCCAGTCTATGGTGTGTCATCAGGGGTGGACTGCGCTGTCAAAAGTTGACAAACGCACCTCACACACTTATGACGGCCAACCGTGCTACCTCATCCTATGCTGTCCTGGCCACCCTTTCAAATCTAGCATAATGGGTCGAAGAGGACCTACAACGACATACAAAACAAGGGCTGCGAGAAATGCCGCTCGACGGCTCCGCTATCAGCAACAAAAGCGAGCTCAACTGCTATTCCAGGAGACTTCGGTCCCAGCACGTCCACGAACACGTAAGATGGATATAAATTGCCAATTCGATTGCGCACCGCAACTTTCTTAATATTGACTGCAGTGTTAGAACCGGTCATTCAACCACGTGAGCCAAGACAAGACGCAGACTCACCTCCACAGTCCGGACCCGCCCCTGAGCCTGCAGCTGATCCAGATACACTTGATTCGGGGCCTATACCAGAGCCACACCTCACACCGGACGGCTTACTGCCTTTATCCAATGATAATGACTTCTTGCTGGATGATCCTAGTGGGTTCGATTCTGATGGCGGAAATGCTCTGCAACAGGCGGAGGCAACTATCAAGTATAACCTGTCTGCTGAAGCAATTCCTGATGATGATGAGCCCACTGAAGGCCCTATCTCTGCCGCTGAGCCCACTGAAGGTCCTATCTCGGCCGCTGACTATGAACCGCTTCTATTTGGCATTCCTGATATTTCAGCAGACTCAGGCACAGATGACCTGTCAGATAGCGCACATGGATCAGGGGATAGCGACAATGGCTATTCACAGTCTGATCAATTGAGCACTGGCACTGAGAACCTTGATAGCCTTGGGGTGCGACTAGCACAACAGATCCTCAGTTCCAAGGTTGTTGCCCTGAGTGTCATCAGCAGTCAATGGAGCCGCTGGTTAATCAGGAGAGATCTTCCATCCCAACCATCAGGCTGGCCGATCTGCAAAAGTGGCACTGCCCCCAGGTGCTCGGTGGCCCACAACTACCTGATGTAGAGACTACCTGGACCAAAAATTGGTCTGCTACCGACCGCCGGCAACTATTCTGTGGCATTGGCAATGATCAAGAGACACCACCAGTGGTCTTCATCACAGATGAGGAAAAAGAGCTGTTGCCACCATCCACCAAAAAGAAAGAGAGGTCGACCTACCAAGTACGCATCTGCGGAGGAAAGAAAAGCGTCAAAGATAGCACAACAGCGAGACCAGCGTCAGTCTGCTCGCGCTACAGACCGCGCCCAGCAATTCGATGAATACTATTACGTACCACACACTCGGGCTGACACCTATGAGCCTCTCTCCACCTACTTTCCTCCAGGTGAAATCTCCATCGCTACCGAGGTTGAGCAACTTTTACCACCCCTTAGCCCCGGGCTGGACCCATGGGAATTGTCTGCACTAGACACCGCGCTTACAGAAGAGGGGCTGTTAGGAGAGTCGATGCCAGACCAAGGCAATGAGACCATCACGCACTCGCCAGAACGTACACAAAGTGAAACTAACCGAGCGAGCCCTATCCCAGAGACCGAAAACAGCCCCATCCTGGAGACTAATGATACCATCCCCGAGACCAACGAAAGCCCCATCCAAGCGACCGAAGTATCTGTGGAATCAGCACCCACTCCACTAGAGGTCGTTATAACTAACTCCCCCGACTCTATTGCCGACCTCGCTGGGGTCCTCACTGATCAGCTTCAGCAGCACCATGGCTGCTGCCGCCAATGCCATGAGCAGCGCGAGCGGGAACATGACGCAAAGCATTCGGAGCACCCTGGCGTAGGAGAGTACATGGACCGCGCTCAGGCTGAGGGAGAATTTCCCGATGTCCTCAGTGTACCAACCATGGCTCGACGCGAGGATGATCTTGTTGGGCAGACCCCCGCAGAGCGAAAGCGTGAAATCTACACTGGAGTTCCACCCGCATCATCTACATCTGACGCTCATCCGGTCCATGTCTGCCTCGCCGCCGACCACGAGACGCAATGTCCATCCGGAGTCACCCTCGATATTGACAGTGTTGTCGGCTTTGCGAGTAGCCTCGCGGTGGCCAAACTGGGAGTCCGTTGGAACCCAACACAGATGGCCCTCACTGATCTTCGTTCCGGCCTCCATCTTGATCCTCTCCTGGTCCACTATTCTGGAAGCGATGGGCGCATGCACCATGTTCGCCGACCTGTGCATATGATCCCACACTACACGTTTGGTCGATTGGTCGGATTCGAAGATATCTCCATCTACTTCCTGTTCCCACGACTCTTCCGGGAGGAGCAGCAATCGAGCCGTCTGCGGGATGAGGACTTTCGGATTTGGATGGACCAGTGTCTCCTTCCAGCCATCTACCAACACTACGAGGGCTCCCTGGTCCAGCATTATCCATCCAGCTTCGACCACAGCCGTCTGAATGCGACGGCGCGGGGGCTCGAGACACGCTCGCAGCGAGTGGATCCCGCTGCCCGCCAACAGCTGCTGTTCTATTTCCTTCCACCCGAGGCTTTGTCCCTCGTCTGGGCGACGATTCAAGAGACGATCGAACGCGAGGGGCTCCAACAGTTCAAGGACCTGACCATCCTCGTCCAAGGCAAAAACCTCAAGACGCTGACCAAGGCCCACACGTGGGAAGGGATGACGCAGCTGTTCACCCGGCACTGGGACATCGCCATCGATGGATGCTATCTCTCGGACAACTCCTACGTCGACATTGGAAAAGAGACCTGCCCCGATGGCTTTTCACGGGTTGGTGGCGATGGGCTCCTCGCGTCCCGACGCCGCACGGGACAGGGCCCTCGCTCGCATTCTCCTCTACCGCAGACTCTCCTCTGGCGACGATGTTGCTTGGACTCGTACGCCGAGTGGATTGGCCAACAGCACTCCCCGGAATCTCCTCGGCCGCGGCAGCAGTTCTACCCGATCAGTCTTCTCCACGACAGTGGGAGCTTGACTTTGGAGACCCGTCGGACCTCTCCACAGCGGAAGGGTGGTCTTCTCTACACGCAAATGTATTCGAGCGTGAAAGAGGTTTTTGCGGCCGGTGACGTGTACCCCTTCACCAACCCTTCGATCGAGACGTTGGCACTCGACCCGCAGCTGCGCAAAACCTGGCAGTACGTTGGGGGTGGGCTCAGCCACGACCCTGTTGCGTTGATACGGGCGTATCTGAACATGAAGCAGCGGTGCTATGCCGCTCTGCAAGGGTCATATCTCAAAGTCTTTGGCCTTCGTGAAGAGCATCGTGTCTCCTTTCCTCTCTTCCATGCGATCGACCAGCAGTTCCGCGAACGCAACCTCCAGCAATCGAGGCTGCCTGAGGCGCCATCCGAGCTGCAGCCCTTCTACTCGCTCCCGACCTCCACCCTCCTCTCCTGGTTCTACTGGAACATCAATAAGTTCTGTGTGGGCTTTGAGAGCGTCTACAGCATCAACGACCGTCATTTTGTCACGTGGGAGCATACGCGGATCATGATGATGTTCCTGCGCTGCCTCCAATTCTCCTACGCAGGTGGCCTGCTCCAGCGGGTCTCTGGTTGCTGGCGTGATGTCTGGTACCGGCCCGACGCTCGACGGCCGGATGGTCTGCGCCGGTGTGAAGGTCTCGGTTTTCAACGGAATCTGCACGACTACGGCTACGCTTGGTTCTTAGACAAGGTGAACTGGGACACGATGACCTTCCGCCAGCCCTCCGCACAGCACATGATGTTTAACAGCCCGTCGATGCAGGCGGCGTTCCATGCGCGGTATTCGCAGATCCGAGACGTCCGCCTCGATTTTCTCCGCGTGCATCAGGCGCACCGGTGGATGGAAGAGTTTAGCTCGACCCCCCCTTGTCTCGAACTGGTGGAAGATTTTCTGCGACAATTCGCGCTCTGTGTATTCCGAAAGGATGTCTTCTTGCAGATCAAGCGCCTCCTCCATCCGGATCATGTGGACCGCGCCCTAGCCGGCGAGGTGCCCCTGAGCCATGATAGCATCACGCGCGTGGTCATCGATGGCGCCAGACCCCTTCGGCTGATGGACCAGCGTCGGATCGCCGTGAAACATGTGGACACGATCTTCGCGTGGCTGTGGGAGTGGAAAGACGGCCGGTACGATCGGAAAGGATGGAAGGACAAGCCATATCGGATGGTGTTTCAGCAGAGCTTCGAGGCCATCAACCAGATCCGAGGGAAAGATCGAGCGCGGGAGTGGAAGATGGCCTTGAAAACCTCCTTTATCCAAAGCCATTGGTTTCTTCCATACCCACACAGTAATGGCTTTATGCGCAAGGCAAAAGACACGGGACAGGAACTGTGGTGGTCGAATTTCAATCATCATTTGTTTGAACACTACCGCCAATGGTACGGTTCGGAAATCACCCAGAAGAGGTTCTTCCCCGCCGAATACATCAAGCACCATCCCACAAATTCCTGGGGCCGCGCACTTGGCGAAGACCGGTACATGCAGGGTGCCATGGAACCGGAGATGGATCTTGTTCGGATCCCCGAGGGGGAATTCTACGCGAAGTTATTGCAGATTGCCGATCGCTTTTCCCAGAATCCCAACGATGTCAGGTGGAGGCAGAAAGCCCCGCCGGCGGTATTCAGATTCAAACGTTTGATCGGGGATGAGGCAAAGATTATGGTCCACCGGAAAAGGAAGGATAGCCTAATCCATAATGCCTTAAAGGAGCGAGGGCTCCCTCCGACTTCTCTGCACACCTATTGGTCCCCTCCGTGTGTGGCGGCCCCACCCCAGTAATTTCCACTGACTCTGCCGGGAATCGCCACGCACGCGACGCGTAGGTCAGGGACGAGCGCGTCCTAGTAAAGTTTGTTAAGGATGATCAACCGATCAATCGAGGTTGTTTATGAGGATCCCGATAGAAAAATGACCTATCAACGCCTGGACCACCTCATTATCTGGCTTCTCCTACTCTTGGCCAAATAAATCGCGTCATCCCCCTAAACCGCAGTCACTTGCTGAACGCGTCCACCCTACCAGCGGCCATGATGGAGCATTTTCGCTATCTCCCGGAATACCAGGTGCTGGTGTGCATCCCCTGTGGGCATGCTGTCCCACCTGCTTACCTTGATACCCACCTAAAAGGCCATCGTAAAGAGTGGCTAGGCCTGGACTCGACCATGGCAATCTCCGTGCTCAAGAAACAACTGCAGGAATTCACATTAGCCGATCCTTCTCAACAGCAGATCCAGATTCCATCCCCTTCCTCCTTAGCCTTGCCTGGCCTGCCAGTAGAGGAGGGGATCGGATGCACGCAATGTCAATTTGTGACTCGCTCCGAGGGTTGGATGCAAAAACATGTCCGGACCCATCAGCTCACCCCACGACGGCAAGGTCGACCTCGGAAGACTAAACCCACGATTGCATTGACGCAGCCCCAGGCGGGCTCAGATCTCTGGGAAAAGGTCTATTGCCAGCGCTTCTTCCCCTCGGGCCCCAAAAGTCGATTCTTTCGGGTCGCTCCGCTTCTTGAACCTACTACAGCAGACCTAGTCGATCCTATTCGCGCCCAGATCTACGAGCAGATCCGGCAATGTGAGCAGAAGGAGAAAGAATACAACCAAGTCATCACGACAGATCGTGACTACAGTGAATACAGTCCTTGGCTAGAAAAGACTCGATGGCGTGACTACATCCACGGCTATACTTTCACGGAACTCACTGCACTCGCATATATGCCTGATCCTGTACGAGAACCTATCTTGCAGCTGTGGATAAGAAGCCTAGACACCGTTGTCGACCAGGCTCTCGAATCCGTGACTAACCACCGGATCAATGTGTTCGACCAAGCCCGGATTAACAGCTTCGTTGACGATGCCTACCGACGACCGAGCCATCGACCGGTCTTCTTTCATCTTAAGCCCTCCACTGACCAGCGATATCGGCGCATCTGGAAGCGCCTTCTCTGTTTTGTGTATCGTGTGGCCCAACCAAGTCAGCCAATCCGACTCTCCCACATCTTGACTGCGGACCAGAAGGACCTTATCCAACGAATGGTAGAAGCAAGTCAACAGGTGCGTAGACTTACAACTTCTGCCGCCGCCGCCCTTTCTATCATCCAGACTTCTGGACCACCACTTGAAGATGCCATCCGAGACGCTTCGGTGACACTGAACCGCACCTGCTTTCTGCTCTGCATTGCTCTTCTCGATCATATCCTGCGGAGAGATCCGTTTGAGAGTGTGGTCGTAGGTTTCTTCGCGATCCTGGGAATTGACGAAGGGAAGGAGACCTATACTCTAGAGGGTGTTCCACCCGGGGCCCGCTCGACTTCTTCGCCCTCTGATTGGTCCCCCGTGCGTGCTCCCGGCGCCCTCGGTGCGTGCCCGGAGGGCCCGCGCCCCATCAGATTCGCGCAGTCCGCGACCGCCGACCGCAGCGGGACCCCACCCCATGGGCGTAAATTCAATGTGCCGTAGGGTTTCTAGGGTTTTAGGGTTGCCGTCGTAAAATGGGTTTCGGGGCCCATTGTGTTGACATTTTTGCTGACAAAGATACCCCAAATTTGAATATGTTGTAAAAGCAATTCGGTTTGATAGTCAGATCAAATTTGAGGCCAATCCATATTGATATAAGCTTGGTTTCTGGGGTTCGAAAACGCCCGATGTTTTTGCAGGAGCGCGCATCACCCGCCGACCGTGGTCCATCCGCCGTACTCCGAAAATCACCCCCATCAGGTTTAGTTCACAGGACTAGTTTTTCGTCGAGATGTCAGAGGTTAATTGCCAGAGGATTGATTGATATCCCATATTTTAAGAGCATCATAGCCCCCATCAAATTCGCGAAATCCGCAACCGCCGACCGCAGCGACCCTGCCGGGCACAGCCATAGACTATTCACGATTCATTCGGCCAAGGATTGCTATATGATGCAGTTGGAGAATCATCCACACTCCGGTCGCACGATCGTACCAGACCTAAGCTTCACCACACCGAATTATCACATTTAGAGTATAGATGTGTATCCCCGTCTTTACAGTATATGTATTGAAGAGGGGAACGCTCGATGGCAGCACGCGCTGGGACGTGCGGGTCGATTCAGCAGAAAGACCACCACAAAACACACGCGTATGTAGGGGTCAGGTCGGGGAGGTGTAAGAAGGTGTATTCGAGAACTGGCTATCCGGCCACCGTATACTGCCGGCTATGTCACATAGTCTGGATGGCACCCATGTAGTAGGGGGAGGGGGTCTCCCCACTACAATATATATCTTTACACTGTCAAGCCCAGTTTGCCGGGTGCATTGGGCTCATATGTGATCTGCCCAGATCGACGTGTTCCTGATAATTCCGAGGCCATATCTGATTTGATTCCCCAACTATTGATCTCTCGATGTCGCTATTTGTTGCATTGCGCTGGAATATCTAGATCGGTCAGCCAGACCTCCGGCAGTCCCGCACCCGCGTGTCAGATCCCGAGGTACTCTCCGGGATGACCTATCACATCGGCCCCAGTGCCGTTCAACCCCTATTCCCTGCCTCCCTAGATCAAGTTCTTTGAATCTACACCTTGTGTTTTTCTATATCGACCTCACTCACCGCTGCCTTCTCCACTAGCGCTCTCACCATGGACGCCATCGGGGTATTCTTCACATATAATGCCACATATCGGTTATGGATCTGCAAGACCTGTCAATATGTGGTGGATGTCAAAACCATGATTGCCCACCTAGGCGCAAAGCACCGACAACACCCTATGGCCCGCACTGGCGACCAACGGGCAGCTATTCATGCTGAAGCCATGAAGGCGAACCCATGGAACCCTGACACGGAGCCATTCACCCCACCACCCCCTGACTCCCGGCCAATTCCTGGATTAACGGTCCATCGTGGCTACCGCTGTCCCGCCGACGGCTGTCGATACGCGTGCCGCACCCGAAGCACTATGGGCAAACATCGTGGAGATAAGCATCGCGATGCTGTCTACCCCCGGGGAGGCCACCAGTCGACCCAGATGACGATATACTCCGACTCCGGGCCCTGGAGCCGGTGTACTGCCAGCGATTGCATCCATATGGGCCGCATAGTGTCTACTTCGCTGTCACGCCCAATCCGGCGGAGCTGGCGGACCCCAAGGCCCCGGCCCCGGAACTCGATGAAGCTGCATATATCCGATCCCAGGTGGACTTGGCGCTCCTCCGATCTGATGGGATCGCGGATGCAGAAGACCAGATGGCGCCAACGGACGAGAATGCCACCGACACGTCCCCGTGGCTGGAGCTCACCCGATGGCCTGAGTATGTTCGAGGGCATGCGTTCCGGGACATCGCCCAACTTGCCTCCCACCCGGACCCCATGACCGAGCCAACCTTGGTCGCGATTGGCCTGAGCGTGAAAAGACTCATCGATCGGGCATTTGAGTCGATCGTCTCTCATCGTATCAACGAGTTTGACCAAGTGCGCATCAACAGCTTTGTCCAGAAACCCGGTATCTGGCAGCGCCCCATCCAGATCAAGCTCCGGCCCAAGACGTATCATGGCTACTGCCGGACCTGGGTCCGTCTCCTGAGTTTTGCGTATCGCACGAGTCAGCCCGACCAGCAGCTCCAGCTTCGCCACCAGTTCACCACCTCCCAGCTCAGCGCCATTGACGACATCCAAGGCTCCCTCCAGCGGCTGTTTCATGCGAGGGACCCCGGTTCTATGCAGGACGCCAACGTCGATCCAGGTCTCCCGCCCCGCGACCAGACTCAGACACCCACCAGCCAGGCCATGAAGGATCTTGACCAAGCCTGCCTGGACCTGTCTCTCGCGCTCCTAGACCATGAGATCCGTGGCGATTTCTTTGAGAGCCCTGTGGTTGCCTTCATGGCAGCGCTAGGTGTTGATAGCAAGAACCAGACTTACTTCGAGCCTGGCAGCTATACCACATACCTGTCCGCCTTGGTGAAGATCTCCCAGATGCTCGTCACCCAGCAGGCAGTCGATCTGGCCGATCGGAACGAGGTCAAGCACCCTGGCGATGCGCTTGAAGAGATGCAAGAACGTTTCCTGATGTATGGCGTCCGATATCCATTCAGCTGGATCGCCCGTCTCCGCACCTATGGCAAGAAAGTGCAGAATACATCCACCAGCCTTGGATTTCTCATCTGGAGTGGTGATCAGCAGTCACTCCACTACCGGGATCTCCAGCTTACTATGGATTCCCTGGCCGCCTTTATCCGCACGCAAGTGGAGCTTGCCCAATATGAGCTTGAGAGACTCTTCCTGCTTAATGAAGGTGAAGCACGCGCTGGTACGATCCCAGAGCTGCCCCTGCACCAGCTCACTGATGATCCAGTCAACAACCAGCGTGGGTGGAACTTCCTGAAGCATAGGAAAAACCGCCAGCTTCTCTCCACGCGTGGTGACAGATGGATGCTGGACCGCATTATGGCCACCGAGGCCCTTCGCAAGGACTTTGTTGAGGTCGGCCCAGCCACCAGGACTGAAGTTCGTCCGGCTGTGAAGTGGAATAAAGCTCTCCTCCTGGAATATCTTAACTGGGTCGATGAGTTCTTACAACGGCTGCTACTGCTGGTCCACATGACTTCCGGCCAACCCGCGCGTGCCACTGAACTGATCTCGATTCGGTATTGCAACACCCCGGAAGGGAGACATCGCAACGTCTTCGTGGAACATGGACTGGTCTGCATTGTCACTAGCTACCATAAATCCAAGAGCGTCACCAACTCCATGAAGATCATCCACCGATACCTGCCACGAGTGGTGAGCGAGCTTGTGGTGTACTATCTTTGGCTGATCCAACCATTCGCAGAGCAAGCCGCTATGTTTGCCTGCCAAAGCAATACCCGGATGCGGTCGCCGTATTTCTGGCCGAAGGGGAGGGGGCATTGGGATGCGAAACGTCTTGGAGCGGTGTTGAGATCACAAGGGGAGGCCCATCTGCAGACCAAGCTGCATGTGCTTAACTGGCGCCATGCAGCGATCGGTATTTCTCGCGTCCACCTGAAATGTGGTGGATTCAAGCGCGACTATGGGCCAGATGACCCGATTGTGGATGAACAGGCCGCGCATGGGTCCTGGATGGCCGGAACTACTTATGCACGTGGCTTGAAGGAGGCGCCCGGAGTTATTGAGGCGAAGCGGATCCGGTTTCGGGCAATCAGTTCTGAATGGCATAAACTGCTGGGTTTCGACGCTCCAAGAGGTCAGAAAAGGCGTTATGGTCAGCTCAGCGATAAAGAAAAGGTGCTATCTGCACAGAAACGCCGAAAAGAGTATATCACTATTGACTATAGTGATGATGAAAGCTACTAATATAGAACTGCGAGGTAGATGGCTAGTTAGAGCTAGGAAACCATGCGGTAGAAGCCGACCTGACCTTGCATCACCACCACATCCTTCGAGGCTAATTCTTGGGATTCTAGTACAATTAATACCGTATACTTTGATCGTTTTATCACAATTTTGATTCCTTGTGTGGTTCATGTAGTATAATGCGTTGAAGTTGGGCTTGGGCGAGTTCGTTGAACTGGATTACTTAATCACGGAACCCCATGTTTGTCCTCAAATTAAGCCCGTTTCGCGTTAAATACTCAAAACGAAACTCTTTTGCATGATGACTAACACACCAAGGCCATTGGAACAAATGTATCCTTAATGTGATAGATCTGAAGATAAAGCTGACAGACATCCTCATAGCCCCAATTCTGTCGAAGGTTGGTGACCGGGAACCACGCTAACCCGGTCAGGCCTAGTTCCCGCACCCCGGAGATAAAGTTGATTTAGCGCCATATCCAAACCGACTTCAATCTATACAATCCAATCCACGCTTTTCAACCGCCCGAACCGCAACGCAACGCAACGCAACGCACAGGGGGTAGACCAGCTGGAGGCCATTGGAGAGCAGCCTCGGCCATCAGGGTTGCTCGAATGGGCCCGAGTCGAGCTAAAATTAGGGTTTTTAGGAGGGGAAAAATTCGAGTGGCACTGGGTCGCGCAGAACGTTCAAAGCCCCGATCGCGCATATAAATAGGGTCGCAGGGATCCCAAAAATCAGTATGTTTTATGTTGGAGGTATGTTCATAACATAATTGAAGTTGAGCGCGATCGGAGCATGTTGAGGGTGGTTTTGCGATCGTGAAAATGTGGGCGATGTTTTGATGG